GCTCCCCACTTCAACAGCAAGATGACAATATTGTCATACCCGCCAGCTACGGCCAACATAAGCGGCGTTCTACCAAGATTATCCGGTGCGTTAATTTGGGCCCCAGCTGCGAGTAATAACATCGTAACCCCCGGTGTTCGTTAGTTTGTAGCTTATCTGCCACCGGAAGGGCTATCTGCCGGGTCCAGGCTCTTTTTTTTCTTAGCCAGGGCGCTTAATTCTGTGCTAGGCGTTGAGTCGCTGCCCCATGATATACGTGTGTGTTACTGGATGGCTTGGGGTCTGGCTGTATGAGTGACAGCTTGATGCCCTGCGTCTGCGTCTTTGGCTTTGTGCTGTTGGGAGTATTTTGTGCTGCAAATAGTGCGCGGAGGCGCGAGTCTGATTAAGCGCCCGAATACTCTGACAGATTGTAAGTAAGGAGTCGTGCTGATGCTTGAGGCTATGGAGGTGCTATTTATTACAAGCTTGGACTCTGGCGCCCACACGTTTGCGGTCTTGTGCAGGCGTCGTCTCAATTCAGCCGATGGTAACTTCAACAGTAGCATCAGCAGCATCAGTACAAATAAGTATCGAGTGAAATAGGCCCAATTCGTACCCAGTTACTACTGGGTCATGCTCGTATGCATGTCTCGATTACCCTGCAAAGAATCGAAAGAAGGAGAAAAAGGCTCAGATTCTCTGATAGTTGCTGGATCCAGCACACCACATTTGAACATGGTGGAAAAAGGAAGGACCAAAAGAACAGCCTTCTCACCAAGCCAAATAGATTCCCTGTTGAATTGACAAATTAGTGCGCGAGTAGACGCCCAAAGTGATGCGTTGTCCTGCATCTAAGAGTCCCCCGCAGCATCGTGTGTCCCATGAGGAAATGCTGCTGCTTTTATGTTGCCGCTTTGAGGACCTAGAGTGTCTGCTGCGACCCTGCCAAGTCCTTTTTATCTTCTTGTATTGTACTAGCTTCGATGAAATAGAAGTGTGCGATGACACGTTTGCGATGTGCTGGCCTTGGTGTTGATAATGCAGCAGTAGCTGGAGTGTTGTTCTTTTTCCTTTTCATCTCGCATTTCTTCTCATAGGACCATTACTGAAGTTTGCGATATTATCGACTTCTGTACTTATCTTCGTGTGCAATACCGCCGCAGTCCATGTGTCAAGGGAATTTATCTCCATTGGACGTTTCCCCTCAACCTGCCAATCAGGCACATGCAGATTTGCGCCGAGAGACTGCAAGAAGTCCTTGCCCCCGCAGCGTGCATCGTGTCCTCCACAAGTCACCACCTCTGGAGTTTATCCTATCAGATGCTATCGAGCACTTTGACCTACAAATTGATTGGTTCTCTGTGTGAGAGACAAGTCGCCCCTCGCTGCTTTTACTCTTCATGGCACACCCACATGCAGCTGCATGCACTTAGACACCCGTCTTTTCTCGTCTTTCTACTCGTTCCGACACGCTCGCAGGAACAGCAATGGCGCTTTCGTGTAAAAGCTGCATATGCAACGTCTGCTACATTTGACCAAAGTCGGTTATTCATAGCCCCTTGTGTGTGCGACGCCGGCCAATCTTTGTAGCTTGTCTCGCCGCAATGGGTCCAGGAAGTGTATATAATGCAGCGTGCTATTAAAGACCGAACCTGTAGTCGCATACCTTTATGCAAAGTTCAATTTGCGTTTCTCGCTTCTTCCAGGTTATTTGCGTCAAATCGATCATCTGGGTACCACCCAAGCACAATAAATAGCCCGGATGTATATCCCGATATATTCAGTTCAATTTGAGGCGCTTCGACGCCATGTACCAGCAACAGAAGACTATATAGACGATGTAAAACATCCTCTTGCCGCCATCTCAACCATTACGAAGAAAGTGTTTGCTTCAATACAGCGACGCTCAAACTCGGGAACCAACACTAACCTCATAATTGGCCTTGTCGTCGGCTTCACCCTCGCTGCATTCATTGTCGGCGTTTGTACTTTCCTCTGCTGTTACGGAGATTCCATCAAAATCTATAACAAGAAGAAACGACATAGACGACGGTCTAGCAGCAGTAGAGGATCACGTCATTCGAAACATTTGAAAGAGGTCGAGCATACTGAGGGTACAGCTGAAGGTGAAAGAGGGGAGGCATGAAGTGTTGCAACTTCTTTTGGTGTGCGGTGCTGGGGCTTTTTTAAATGAGAAATGATATGATTTTCTTTTAGTGGCAACTGTTAACTTCTTTGTTAGTTACTTATAACGTATACGTGGATTGGACAGATTGCTCATCATGATTCCCGGATACATTCGGATAACAGAACGATTAACATTGCATTCATACATCTCATCTCCCTACGTGCTCTCAATTAATTAACTTATCGAACCACTTTCCAGTCCTCCAATTTCTTCCATTCTTCCCCTCAGTGAGCTACCACTCGCCTATGCCGATGGTGGCAGTGATGACGATGGCGATGGGGATGGCGATGGTGCCGTTTCTGCCCCTTTTCTCTTTCCTTTTTCTCCCGCCGCCCATTCTTCTCTTCTTTGGCAGCGACATCAGCACGATCATTCGCCAGCGGTACATCTAGTCCATTGAAAATAGCCTCCAAGTCTGCTAGTCGAATCTGCGGCTGGATTGGCTCTTCAGCCTCTGCAATGGGATCTTGTGGATGAAAGATACGCTGGGCGCGGTTGAAACGGCGGTGGCGATGGTAGTTTACGTGACGATGATCAAAATCAGAATCACTAGGAGAGTCTTGGGCAGCTTCATCATCATGTTGTTGGTCATGATGGTCATGGCAGTGGCCGTGGAAATGCTTGTCGTCATGCTGGTGATGATGAACCGTCAGGGGTATAGCAGGTGGTGGAGGTCCCTCTTCATTCTGGGCAGCGGCATTCTGTCCCTGAGGCGCCTGCTCGACTTCATTTGCCCTCTCATCGTTTCCACGCGCAGCAGCATTCGCTTGCTCTTGTTGGTTGTTGCGGCGATGGCGCGATTCGGAGCGTCGTCGTCGTCGAGATCGCCGGCGGTGACTTTGGCGCCAGCACCAAAGGTAAGTGATGGCGGCGATGATGACTACAATGAGGGTGATTCCAACAGTGAGGCCAACTGCTGCTGAGGATGATATATGTCCATCATCATAGGAGTCGCGAGAGTGAAGAATAGGGGGTTGATGGTGATGACTGTGGAGGCAGGGCATAGTGAACAATGGGAAGACCATGATGAGGCCTCGAAAGAGTGTCAGGTCCTGCTGGAGTTGTTTATCGAATTGAATCTAATGCTATCGAAAAATTAAAGATGGCTATTTTACAACGACATTATCATCGTCTTTATACGCCTCCTGCAAGAAGGAGTCTATGGTGTTATTGCTGTTCCAAATACTGATTCATTGGAGCGACTTATTCTCGTTTGACACGCCAAAGCAGCTACCCTCACCGTTTTTTGACATTGAAACAGTTTGCTCTTCCTACAGCCATTAAAAAGAGAACAAAAGAAAGATCTCGGCTGGGTGTTATCCTTTACGCAAATAGATTTCTACAGGTAGCGATAGTTTGGTGATTCAGGAGGTCAAAACCGACAAACAGGAGCTTCGTGACATGATGCGAGGCACTCTGACAACTTCTGTTGAACATGTGGGATGGCAGCTCAACAGTTTGTAAAAAGGATATCAACGTGTTTTACAAGAGAAACGGGCTTGAGATGGACAAGCGACGTTGGTGCTGCTGTGATGAATGTTTGACGTGGAGTACAAACACGTGGTGCTCGGAAACAAGAAGGCTTCTAGAAGGCGGCTTAACTTGCCTCATACTTTTTTTTTCCCTCTCTCAAGTCAGTTTAGTCTGTCATCGGTCAATTCAACTGCTAATAAAGTTGACAAGCTTTGCGGGATGGGTTTTCGCGGGGATGGGTCTTCGCGGGATGAGTTTCCCTTCGTGTTGTCATACAGCCAGCCGCTTTAGCTGGTTCCACAGGAGAAAAACGTTCAAAGGCCGATTGCAAAAGACGGGAGGGAACGCTGGCCCCTAGTAATCTAGAAGATAAGCCGCCGGTGGTCGGATATTTGTCCGTCTATCCGTGATCCGAGATGCGGCTTTATCATCCGGCGAGCAAATCGCCACATGGAGAGTGCCTGAGAATACTGTACTGTAGGTAGTTGCTGCACCGCGGACAATCTATCAGCCGCTCAAGCCAAGTTTGGATTCGCCATTGGAGCGGTTCGTTTCTCCACCACGAGGACACAGTGACAGGCAAGTCTCTCCGTCCCGCTAAAGGTGGCGTTGGAGACGGTGGTACCGCGACGCAACTGCGTGGGGTAGAGGGGAATGCTGGGTGAATAATGTATCTCGGAGTAGCGCACATGGAATGGTGACATGCAGGGCAATTCTGCGTGATTGGCAGGAGATTTGGAGAGATTGGCGGAGGGCTTCAACATAGGAGGAACTCATTGATTGGCACAGACACTATCTCGCATTATACTACTTGCGTGGGCTGAGGATTAGGAGCCTCGTCTGATTCGCCCAGCTGGTTTCTGCCATCAAGGTGCTACCAAAGAGTCAAACTGATGATGACCCTTTATTGCTCTTTTCGAACACCTGGACACACAAACTGTTAAATCCGCCCCAGCCCACGGGCAATACTTGCCTCAAAAAACTATCATCGAATCCAGACCCCCACAAGCCAGACTCTTGCTAGTCACAGTGGCGGCTCCGTGCCTTGTTCTAGCACGGCTTCTGCCATGTACGTAATTTAAGCCCCTCATCACCTAAAATTTTCGAGCGTCTCCGATTTCCTCTTTGGGCCGCGGGGCACTTTTGGAATCTTCGTCTTTTTCCCCTTCTTACGCTTTGACCGTCAGATAGAGTAGGCAGAAAGAGACAAACAGATGGACGAATTGCTCAGATGATGAGACAAATTCCACCATTTCAAACAATAGAGTGCATCATCTTTTGGAAGCACGGCCTGAGAGCCACCACGAATGAATCAGGCAAGGCATCTATGATGGAGACTGCTGCTGAATAAAAGACAAAAAGCACGCTTTCGACCCGGTTTCCTCTCCAAAGGTGCATAAACGCCGATGTTCCCCACAGAAGGCAATGGATAGAGCTGGATACAGAGATATGGGGATGGGACGCCCTGGATGGGGAAAATATGACCCAAGCTCCCCCCCCATAGTGACGCGCCATGGCTTGCTTTTGTGGCTACTGATAGTGACGATATCGACATATAATAATGGCGGCCCTGCGTCTGTCTCGACCGTCCCTCCTCCCCATCTCTTCATTCCTCTCCTCGACTCGTCTCAGCCACCGCGCATTTCCAACCACCAACAACACCTGCTACTCACGAACATTCAGCATCACCGCAAAAATGTCTTCCGGACGAACTGTCACCCTCAACACCGGCCACAAGATCCCCCAGATCGGCTACGGCACCTGGCAGGCCGGCCCTGGCGAGGTCGGCGCCGGCGTCTACGAGGCGCTCAAGATTGGCTACCGCCACCTGGATCTGGCCAAGGTCTACGCCAACCAGAAGGAGGTCGGCGAGGGCATCAAGAAGGCTCTGGCTGAGGTGCCCGGCCTGAAGCGCGAGGACATCTTCATCACCTCCAAGCTGTGGAACAGCTCCCACGCCCCCGAGGACGTTGCGCCCGCTCTGGACGACACCCTCGAGGAGCTTGGCCTCGACTACCTCGACGTATGTTGGAAGCTTGCATGAAGGGAGAAACGCGCTGGTTTGCTAACTTGTTCACTGCAGCTCTACCTCATCCACTGGCCTGTTGCCTTTGCCCCTGGCAACGGTCTCTTCCCCAAGAACGCCGAGGGCACTGAGACCCTGCTCAACAAGAACGTGTCCATCGTCCAGACCTGGAAGGCCGTGACCGAGCTGCCCAAGTCCAAGGCCCGCTCCGTCGGTGTCTCCAACTTCACCATTGAGAACGTACGTGGCTTCTTAAGTGCTTGGATACCGAGACTTAGACAGCTAACTTGACAACTCTACAGCTCGAGGCCATCATCGAGGCCACCGGCGTCGTCCCCGCCGCCAACCAGGTCGAGCGCCACCCCCGCCTGCCCGACTACCCCCTGATCGAGTACTGCCAGAAGAAGGGCATCGTCATCACCGCCTACTCTGCCTTTGGCAACAACTCCAGCGGCATCCCCCTGCTGGTCAACACCCCCGAGGTCCAGGCCGTCGCCGAGAGCCTCTCCAAGAAGCAGGGCAAGACCGTCACCCCCGCCCAGGTCATCCTCGCCTGGTCCCAGATTGGCGGCCACACCGTCATCCCCAAGTCCGTCACCAAGGCTCGCATTGCCGAGAACTTCCAGGAGGTCGACCTGGACGACGAGGCTGTCGCTGCTCTGGCCAAGCTGGGCGAGACTCCTAAGCGCTTCAACATTCCCTTCAACTGTGAGTTGTTTTCCTTCATTCTGTCAAATTACTTCGTTTCATGCAGTGCTGACCCAGTTCCTTTTCCCTCGCACTAGACAAGCCCAGATGGAACATCAACCTTTGGAACACCGAGGACGAGCAGCCCGCTGCCAACAAGGTCATTGTCAAGCTGTAAGTTTGAGGAGAAAAAGATTTTATACGTAGCGTGAGATGAATACCCCTGCACATAGGCCATGGAGCCGGATGGATTGAAAAAAGAAGTTATATACAACAATAGACTTGCATCAAACTGCATCAAGACCATCATGTTTTACCATTGCAAAAGTGACAGGCGATAAAAAGGGATATGCATATTATTCCACAATAGATAAGAGCTAAGGGTAGGCTATCGCAAACATCATTCTTCTATATCAGCGAGCTCCGGCTCTTGGGTACCAGAGGTGCTTTTGACATGCTGTCCTGGTGACGAAGGATTCAATAGCAGCGTATTTTGGGCGCCAGCATTCACTCTTGGCAGAGTTTGCTCCCTGCGTAGGATAGTAAGCTACATGCAAACAATTTAGCAGATAGTCTAGCGTTGGGTTGAGATGGGCGTCTGTGCTTTCCAAGAAATGATCTTTTAATGGGTCGGTCAGAGGTGACTAGGCATGTTGCATACTACAGGTACAGTACTATAATTGGGGGATGATTATACAGCACACCAGCTCTGGCCTATCAACGCATCTAAATGCAATCTTTGGATGCCATTACGTATAATAAGAATTTTCTGTATTATAATATTGTGGTGATGGAGGCATATGCTATACATCTGTGGCAGCAAACGATATTGAATGCCTAGTTACGTAGATGACATAATAATAATTACTATTGTTTCCTCTTCTTTTTCTTCTACATGGTTGTCAATGCGTATCAAGGACCCAATATGAATAACCGTGCACGGACAGTTGACCAAAAAGATGCAAGAGTTCCAGTTAACACAGAAACAGTAACACAAGCCCGAATATGGACTTGACAAAACACTGTAAAACTGATCAATATATGCATATATAGGTACTGACTTGTACTTCATCAACCGTTGTGATTCTGCCTATCGTCACTGGGCTGAAAGCGTAAACATCTTTTGCTGTTACGAGCTCACCGCCGCTAAAAGCACTTGTTTGCCCGTGCCAAGGGCCATCGGATGGCTGCCGCACGGACTGTAGAAACACGCAGATGCACAGAGATTTCTCCCTCCCTCCTCTCTTCTCTTTATTCTTTCATTCTCTGGCTTGTCAGTCACCAGTCATACAGCTTTCAATATCGTCCAGTTACAATGGTGCTCACGCGTTTGCCCAAGGAGCTGTTGGATGCAATCTCTCGCTGTTTGACGGGTAAAGACATCAAGAGCTTGAGACTGGCGTCCAAGTTATTCTCCGACATACCTTTACCGCTCTCTAGGGTTTTCATAAGCGCGAATCCGATAGACATTGAAGTTTTTCGCTCCATCGCGGATCATGAGACCTACAGGCATGGTGTGAAAGAGATTATCTGGGATGAGGCCCGATTCGGCAACCCTCGTTCTGGATGTGAAGGTTATGAATTGGAGTCCCGCGAGGCACCCTGTGAATACAGACACGCTTGCAAAGAGAACATGCATGAGATATTGAACAGGCGAGCCATGTACGCTATCCATTTTCCCTTTGAAAAAGCCATAGACGAGCAAGTAAAGGCTCAAATGCCTGTATTTGAATCATGGCTGCTCTATTGCGAGTATGCAGACCAGCAAAACGAGGTTTTGGAAAACGGTAGCGATATCAAAGCATTTGAATACGGCCTAGAACGCTTCCCGGCTCTCGAGAGAATCACGTTGACCCCAGCAGCTCATGGAATACTATTCAACCCATTGTACAAGACACCGATGCTTCGATCGCTTCCATATGGCTTCAACTACAATATTCCGCGCGGTTGGCCGGGCACCTACTCTTATGCGAGATGCGAGCCGTGGGAAACCGAGGCTGAAAAAGAGCAATGGCGAGGCTTTCGAGAAGTCATTCGTTGCCTCGCGGATAACAAAGCGCTGTCGGTAAAGGAGCTTGTTCTCGACGTCCATCAGCTGCCAACAGGCTTGACCTGCCACTTTTTTGACCATGCCTGCCCAGAATACGACCAACTAGTCGCTGTTCTCCGCAGACCTGGTTTCCGCCGCTTCGATCTCGCTCTTACCGCTGGCGGACAGCCCAGTTCCGACTGGGAGTCGTTTCGGAATGGACGCATGCGACGTGCATTGGCAGAGGCATCGGAGGATTTAGAACACTTTCATCTGAGAACAGATCAGGGAGATTTACCAGGCGTAAATCGCGAGCTGGATAACAATGGAATATCTTACCACTTCACCCCCCTCCTCGATATCTTGCCCATAGAGCGGTGGCCGAAGCTCCGGCACTTTGGGCTATCAAAATTCCTTGTGCGGCAAGATGATGTAATGTCTCTCTTGAAGGCACTGCCAGTCACTATCCGGACCGTTGAGCTCAGTTTTTTGTGCTTTTTAAACGACGGTGACAGCTACAAAGCTTTGCTGGACGAGATGCGCGACAGTCTGGATTGGCACACTAGAGATGCCGCACTTCGCCCCAAAGTCAAGATTGGCTTGGATGTCTCTCGTTTCGCTGTAGTTCATGGCCGAGCAATTTGGCTTGAAAGAGAAGTGGACTCGTTTTTGTACGAAGGGGGGCCCTGCTTGTTTCCGAGGGAGGATCGTCCAGATGATGCGAAGCCCGGAGATGGTGGTACAATACGGGATGAATTCCAGCCTGAGATTGACAGCCCATGGGCCGATTGCCCCATCTGGGACTACAATGACGAACAAGGACGTTTGCGGGCCCGCGCTGAAAAGGGGGGAAATCCCGACGTACAAGCAGCCTTGGATGCCTTGGATGCCTTGGATGCCTTGGATTACGAGGACTGACCCGCCGTGAGTTTGAAGCTTTGCCTTCTTTAACTACATTATACTTGCCCTCGAAGGGTTATATACTGCCGATATTTCAGCCATGAGATCGATTGTATGGAAGTAGTTTAAATAGTAGGGGAGAAAGCCGCGGCCAACACTCATTCATCCCAAGGCACATGATACATATAGGCTTTGTGCTAATTTACTATGATAGAAAAGCCATGGCTATATTGTGCGCTAAAACTAGAGCGTGATTCTCTCTGGTCCTATCAAATGCCAATGCAGACGTAGACGTTGGCCTAAAGTCCCAAGCAGCCCTTTTGACAGTAGGGTTCAACGTGTCAAAGTCACCAGGGGGGGCTATGCCATGGGCTCTCGATAGTGCCAAATACTCGTCGCCCAACTTCATGCTGAAAGATGGCTCTATAGTGGTTTACCATACCAGCTTGGCCTCGCAACTGGCGTAGTGAAACCTTCAGTAGACCATCACAGTAGTCATCTTGGGCTCAGCCACCGTCTTTAACCCAGGGATCATTGCAGGCCGCGCAATTTCAGGTCCGGTGCGCTCAACACAAACGTATACCTCGGCTTGAAGTCCAGAGCAGTCAACCTTGACGGCCGGATTCCATTTATAAAAATCTTCGAGGTCGATTTTCGTATGAGCGGCAATACCGGAGCATTCGTCTCCTTTCTTCACCTTGTAAAACCTGCTGCATCGGTCGACCATGCCGCTTTGTGTTGGAGTTGGCGTATGTAAGTCAGTGGATGTTGCAGTGGTATTTGTGTACTTTTGTGAAACACTCTTAGTCACCGCGAGATCAGTCGTTGTTGTGTGCTTCTCGTCATCGTCGTCATCTTCGTCGTCGTCGTCGTCGTCTTCGGTGTAGGGCTGATTTCCGCCGGGGTACGTCGAAATACAATAATATGTGCCTTCAACTAGGCCTTTGCAGTCTTTACCAACGGAAGGGTTCATTAAGCAAAAGTCTTTCTTTTTCAAGTTGTTCAGGCCCATGATTGTGTCGCATGTGGATTGAGGCCCTATGAGAAACCACTCGGTGCAGTTCGCAGCCTCTCCAACCGCTCGAGGATTCGGTGGACTTTGAACAGGATCAGGAGCTACAACATATGAGCCACATTTCGTTTCCAATTTCACACATATGCTTCATGAAGGGGTAGAGAGTCTCGGTGAAGAGAAGAAAAAAAAGTCTTACTTGGAGAAGGGAGGGTCAACATGAGGCAATATGAGCTGCTTGCAGAGATCGTACATGGCTGCGGATCATTACTGCCACTGGAGTTAATGTTCCTTTTGTCCTCCCTCAAGGATGGATTCCACAACATGAACTCCTACCACAACCAAGTCAGTATTTCACACAGCGTAAGAAGATGGTAGGATTGTACACACCGCGAGTGAAGTTTCTGCCTGGTAAGCCCATCCCAAACAATCTGTGGTATCATTTTCGAGCGAAAAGTACCTCGGAGCAGAATAAGCAAAGAGATACTCCTTTCAATTTGGCAAAGTGCACTTACAAATTGCAATCTCGGCGTGTACCATTTGCCATCGGGATCACTGGCTTGCTAGCCCTATACGAGGCCATAATATCCCTCCTCGGTACTGACTTCATAGGCAGCTCAACCCACATGGCATCATCAGTTTGAGCTCCGCCATATCCTGGGTAAGTAGATATATTTCCCACTGGCCTGACACAGTAATAGTAATCCAACAAAAAGTGAGTGCAATTACTGCCGACCTCTGGATTTAAAAATAAGCTTTCATCATCTGTCAGTATCATCGTGCGATTTACAGCGAGGTGACTTGGTGACTTACAAATCTTCCAGCGATGTGCCAAACTTGGCTTCAATAGTTGAACAGTCATCTCCTTTGGCGATTTTATAGAATTGCCCACAATGCTCATTAGTCTTATCAAGTACTGGAGTCGGCTTAGGTCTGTGCAAGTTGCGTAAGCTTCTGCAGGCTATTCATTGGAATGAAGAAAGCTTACGCTTGGGTGGAGATAGTAGTCGTGGCTCCGCGCGAGTTGTTGGGAATGAATAATTTGCCTGAAGGGTTGCTGATACAAATATTCTTGCCCAAGAATTCCTTTATGTTTCTTTCATACAATTAGCTTTCCTTGGCTGCAGAGCCATTATACCCATCTCCGTGGCTTAGACTTACGCGCAGGCAGGTCTGAGATCGTTGTTCCAAGCGAGAATTTGTGTATAGGTGATGTTGTTCGCCCTGGTGATGCTAAAACAGGTGTCGCCATTGTGAACCGTATGTTTTTTGCATTCGATAGCGGCAGTTGATTCATTGGTCAAAACAGGAGCGGGAAATGCGAACGCATGAGCCCGGAGAGCAAGTAGAAAAAGAGTAACGAAAAGCTTATTAAGGTCCATTGTTGCACTCAAAACGCGAGCACTGGTAAGAATGTAGCAAAAAGTTGTTCTGTGGCTATATATTGCTAATGTGGAGTTGCAGAAAACAGGTTGAAGAAGAGACTTGTCTTATGATCTAACACATCTTCCCTCACGACCGCATGGACCGCTTCGAGGGCATATTGTGTGGCATTTTCAAGACAAATGCTGCCTTCCGCACTTCAAAGATGGAATTTTAGCAGAAATATAGCGTGAGGGCCGTAATTGATACGAGTAATGCAAACATGAAGGTCATTGAGAAGGATGCTGCCCGATAGCAAATACCGACCGCTTCGAGGGTGCCGTGTAATGGAAGTCCCCTTTCTACTTTGAGTATGGTTACCGCGAATTATTTTCTTCTAAACGCTTAATAATGCAAATATACTTGGCTTTTTTCAGTCTCTCTATGCCGTCAGTATTCAATGGTGACCTATGTAGTTAAAGTCGGCCTAACGCAGCGACCTGGCATGGGCCTCTTCGTGCTCTTGGCTTTACAAAAGTTCCCGCCCAAGGTCCGCGAAGATTAAAAATGGAATTCTCAAACAATCAGCAAACATTTCTCAATCTCACACATGACAGTAACGCTACAGTAGTATCTACAATGTAGATAATAACAGGAACAGAAGTTATCCGGCACTTTAGCTACAGCACGGGCTACACTACCATTGATGGTACTACGACTAGGTTCTTGGACTACAGCTACAGCTGCTGACATTGCTACTGCTGCTACTGCTGCTGCTGCTGCTGCTGCTGCTGTTTTTACATATATCATCCTGGTATGTATAATAACTAAATACTCTTTCATATAAACTAACTACATATGATCCACCAAGCTGTGGCCAAGGTATTAAAAACAATACAACTAAAGTGCTGGGATGGCTTTTCCCCCAATAGACTAGCGTCCATGTTTTCAACTCGTGTATGTACAGTAGTTTCAGGTCCCTGTTTTTCTTCGCACCCCTACCGCCGAGATCTACATCAGCTTTTGCGGCGAAGACGTGGCAAACCACTTATTTATAGAAGTGCGGTGGCTTTATTCGCATACTTGTCTCCGTCGTGCCCGGAGAATGATATGCGGGCAGGCGATTCATGAAACTCCAGGAGCAGAGAGATGGCACGGGGTCTTATCGCTATACCTGCTCTGGCATGGCGGCTTATCAAAGCAGGCAAACACACAAACCTCATTTTTCTTCCCTGAAACAATAGATTTGAGCATTGGAGAGATCTTCCCGAGGTCGGCCAGGTCCGAGACTAAAAATAGCCAAAATTTAGGCTAAAGCTTTGCAGTTTGTACTTCATTATACAAATTTGCAATGGCTAGTCACGAATAATACATTGGGATTCAGGTACTCTGATGGTGGCATTGCTACATTATATATCAGTGAAAGCAAAATAGAGTTTTCTTGCTCCGACTTTGTTCTTTAAGCCATGATTTACCAGTGTAATCATTCACTTTTCAGATATTTTGGAATACATATACAAAGCAAGAGAGCAGGCACCCTTATGGATAGAACAAGATTTACTGACGAAAAAAAATAAGGACAAAGTCTGTGTGGGAAAACGACCATTTTGGAACATCCGAGCTTTGCAATAGTGGCGCAGGCCTAAAGCTCCTTGCCATATTAGAGAATGAGAAAGACAAACAGCTGCCTGGCGGTGAATCTGTCCCTTCCCGTCGATGTTTCGAAATGGAAACTGTCATCATCTGGCTGCTCCAGGGCCCAACAAGCCTCATATCGCACTCCATCGAATTACCAAGTTCTTGGGCTCGGGAGATCGTGCTCGTTGATTGCGCACGACTCGCTACCATGACAACCTGTAAATTGCCAATCTGTGTATATATGGATAGAGTAAAAGACAGAGAAGTAATGTAGTTTGAAACTTTTCGTATCAAGGAAAAATTGCAATACAGAGAGTCGGATATAAGCATTTTGATGCTATAGATGATCGACTGTTATCAGTCCTTGTGATGCTATGGAGATGCGTCGATTCTTATTCTTTTACTCTTCTATCTTCTTGCTCATATCAGTACTGCTTTCATGCCACTACAGTTCCTCCTGCGCTTACGGTCTCCGACACACTCAATCGCATCACAAATGGCGCGAAACTGGCATCGTCGAAGCTAGGCTGGCTGGACCAGGGCAAAGCGGCTACACCTGCTCCAAGAACCAGCCATGTCCCAATGGCGCTTGTTGCGGCGTAAGCGGCTGGTGCGGTTACGGCCCAACGTATTGTGGAAAAGGTTGTCAGTCCAACTGTGATGCCAAAGCAGAATGCGGCAAGTTCGCGCCAAAAGCAGGACAATCTTGCCCCCTTAACGTCTGCTGCTCAGAGTTTGGTTTCTGCGGTACAACAAGCGAGTTCTGTGGCAAAGGTTGCCAGTCCAACTGTCATCAGCCAAAATCGCCAGGCCCTCCGTCAAACGTTCAGAAACGAGTAGTTGGATACTGGGAAGCATGGAATACTCAGCATCTATGTGGTACTATGGAGGCTGGAGAAATTCCTGCCAACTATCTGACTCACTTGAATGTTGCATTTGGATACATCACTCCAGATTTTCGAATCACTAACATGGACGGCGTGTCACCTGATGTTTATGAAAGAGTTGGCGACATCAAGGCTCGGAATCCGAACTTGAAGCTGCTTATTGCCCTCGGAGGTTGGAAATTTAGCGACCCAGGTCCGTGGCAAAGCGTGTTTCCAGCTATGGTGTCTACAGCGGCGAATCGAGCAGTGTTTATAAAAAATGCCTTGAGATTCTTAGAGAATTTTGGATATGATGGATTGGGTAAGTTCTTTGTCTTTGTAATTGATCTGACTATTCGCTAATGGCTCTTTTTTATCCCTCGACAGATTTCGGTAAGTGTATCACCATAATACCACCGAGGACCTATAGCAATCTCATCTCGACATCCTACGGATCGCACACAATCAACCCGAATGTATAATCGAAAGAACAAAATTAGCTTACAATGAAGCAGATTGGGAGTATCCTGGAGCCGACGACCGCGGCGGCACTGAGAAGGATGGCGAAAACTATGCTATGCTGTTTAAGGAACTGAGAGCCGCAATCAAAGCCAGCGGCCGCGACTATATCGTCACATTTACAGCCCCAACCTCGTACTGGTACCTTCGCCATTTTGACTTGGAGAACATGGTTCCTCATGTTGACTGGGTGAATTTGATGTCATATGACCTTCACGGAGTGTGGGATGGCAACAATACAATCGGCAAACAGGTCTTGGCCCATACTAACTTGACAGAGATCGATCTTTCACTTGATCTAGTGAGTCAAAGGTCAAAAAGCATGGGCTTTTGGAAGGCTACTGACCGTTTTTGGCGATAGTTTTGGAGAGTTGGAGTTCAACCATCAAAGATCGTCTTGGGTCTCGGATTTTACGGCAGATCATTCTCTTTAAAAGACCCTCGCTGTTGGAAGCCCGGATGTGCCTTTAGCGGTCCAGGAGATGCAGGTCCATGTTCTGGCACTGCAGGCATCTTATCTTTCAGAGGTAACTTTCGACTCATACTCATTATTGTCCTTGGCGTGAATGTGCTGATAGAGCTGGCGTGTAAAGAGATTACAGATGTACTTCGCCGAACTGGCGCAACAGCTTACTGGGATCAAAAGGCAGCCGTCAAATATCTGCCTTATGGAAAGAACTCGTGGATCTCGTAAGTAACTTTGACGTCCAGTTTTCTCATCAGATGGCCATAAGCTAACGACGCTCAAGTTTTGACGATGCTCAAACGATACAGGCCAAGATCGATTACGCGAATCAACTCGGGCTTTCAGGCTTGATGATATGGGCCGTAGACCTTGATAATGGACAGCTGGATGCGCTTAGAACAATCTCTGATCCGTCTATCATTGGCAACGACGACACCCTATTTGATCTAGTCGATGTCAGGAATATTTTTCCAACACAATACCTTCCTCCTAATGGATACACTCCAAAATATGGACTAGTTAACTTTGGGGGCTCTCTAGGCTCAACCAATATGGATCCAAGTAACGGCGGGTTTGGCTTTTTTCTCATATCAGGCGATTCTCATGTCGCTTCGCCACTAACTAAACGAGACAGTGAGCCAGATCCGTTCGAATTCCGAGATTGCCATGGCACGAAAGTCGCATTGCAGTCTGGAATTTCCAAGGCCAGAGTGGCTTGCTTTAGCGATGATGTGGAAGGCTGCTTCCGAGTCATGGAACAAGGGATTGAGAGTACACTGGTGGAGTTGCCAGACCATGTTGGTGATCTTTCTCTAGCCTTGGATGAGGCCATCGACTCTCTAACTCGTGTCGATTTCTTAGTGTTTTTCACAACAATATGCAAGAGCCGTCTCTATACAGATTTCACATGGTAAGGTTCTTCTTTTATGAGAGTTGCAACATGTAGCTGATCAGTTAGATCAATACATTCCCAAAAGATTTGACGACAGACAGCCAACCTCAGCAGTCTTCGACTTTTACTTCGATTTCAACATGGGTCTTGTCCGCCGAGATACCAACAACACTAGCATCCGAATCGACTACTCAAATGTCAAGGGCTACTGGAACTCTGTTGTCAACTCGCCCGGCATCCAATCTCGAGATCTAACACGCAGATTTTTCGCTCCATCGCCTGTGGACTGGCAGAAAAAATATTCCAGCGGCGGCTATTCGACATTTGAAGATTCCAAATCTTTCGATATCAGTGACGATGTACAAGCTCCATTACTATGGCAGACTGCTCAGGACTGTCCAGTTGATGGGTCGACATTGGATGAAGGCATTGGTGCTTACATAAAAGGAAAGCTCAATGCTCACTTCCTCTATGGCTTCTCCATGGTGGTAAGTGGACTCTCGATTTTCCGTGCCTGTCGCAGTACCACTGACCACGTTGTCTTGGTAGGCATCTCTTGATCAAGGAGCGTTCCATATTCAAGAGTCCAATGGATTCCTGCACGTATCTGGAAACACAAATTTTACATATGCTGTTGGGGGAATCGGATCTCTCAGTATATCGGAAGCTGGCAAGGGAAATCCCGCCATAAGTGATGAAGTTCCGGTGACGCTAGGTGGGCATGCTATCAACGCCGGTAATTCTGCTGACATGGCTACTTTTGAACCATTCTACCAGATTCAGTATGGGATAGCCACTATGAATGGAACCGACATAAGAAGTTTCGGAGAGGACGCTGTTCCATTCAACGGGCGGTTACAAACCAGGATCCTGTCTGATTTCGGCGATTCAACGTTATATTTCCCAATCTCGAATGCAGAGTCAGATATGAGTCTCGCAAAGCGCAGTAAGAATAACATTGTTATATCGAAATCTGACGTCTTGTATAATGGGTTGGGAAATGGCGGAAGAATTGCTCTGAGCAGCATTGTTACATTTGGTCTCAAAAGCAGACTGCTCTTGGGAGGGCAAAATATTCCTCTACCAATCGATCTACCCAACGTGAGCGATTTCCAAAAAGGTTCAGTGATTCACGTAAATTAACCTTTCTCACAGATGTCTGTCAGCTACAATACAATGACCGAGTTCACCTTCTCCTCCGAAAAGGAACAAGAATTGTCGTGTGCGGATTATGCGGTAACGTTAGTAAAGATTGTGTCCACTGTGGGAAGCAGGTAATTATATAAACTAACACACAATGGACAAATAGGCCTCTGGCCTACCAATTTCAAAATAACACGTAAGTCTATATATTTACAATTACTTTATAATGGAACTCAGATGCTGATCAATGGACGAAAATAGTAAACTTGCTCGATGGAACGGAGATGATCTGGCGGAATTTGCTTATGACTCGGTAAGTAACTGTTGGAATTCATTAGGCAACAGAGACTAGATTAATCACTGACATGTTTATAATACAGCAACTTCTTAAAGACGAAAAAAAGTGTTACAATGAGACTGACCATTCTTCACTTGGCGGCCGGGGGAAGCTATATGGCTGGGGCTACAGTGGCGGAAACTCGATTGACATCTCGACCTTCCTGCAAGATCAAAATATTCTCAACATGTTTGATAATATTCAAGCAAGATTCGGTTGCGATAGCTGTGTCAGTTGCGAAACCGACCAGAAGAAACGCAAAAAGGGCAAAGAAGATTTTTGTTGCGGATGTGTAAGTATGCAATATGTCTACGGCTATACTGACTTCGATGTCACGATTGACCCTCCAGAAGATGGAGACTGGATTCCAGGCCACCAGCCGAGGAGCGAGCCGGAAATCGATGAAGAAGAAGAGCAACTAGGAAAACGAGTGGATGGCACAGCTACAATATCTCCCAAAACGATGAAGGCCTGCGGCGTAACAACCACACCGTACGGATTGAACCAATATCCGGCTTTCCCAGCAGATTCAACGTTTCAATGGGATGGTATAGAACATAAACGTTGGGACTCTATCTCAAGGTACTGGGGGAACGCCTCTGCCTCTTGTACTAATTGGGCTGCTGGCCAGCTGACTGTTGCCGACGATGAAAATACTCCAGCAGGCGTATACCGGGCCAAATACCAAAGTATATCTTTCTTTCTTTCTCTATGCTGTAAACAAATTTAGCTGACCAAGGTACCTTTTAGCGGAGCATGTCTTTGAAGGCCAGCTGATATCAATCTTCTTCAACGAATGGCTGGATAAAGGGTTTTTGAAGCGCCAAAATCCCATGCCCAGCAACCCTCGGCCCAAAGTGCCTTGTCAATTGATTGAGGATTACATCCTAGACCCAAATGGTCCAGCCTGGAAGCTTGATGGCAAAGATGCACCGTTTGTTCAACTTCTGCTGGCGGAATTGGGGAATATAAAACACCTTGACCGTTTGACTATTTTTAAGGCTAGGCCGAACCGGAAGAAAGGCAACGTATGTCTCCTCTCTCCTCTTTATTGTTTCGCGTGCGTGCGTGCGTGCATGTATGGGTGTGTGGGTGTGTGGGTGTGTGCGTGTGTGGGTAGACAAAATAACTAATGTAACCATAGGTGTTTCAACAATCCAATACTGTTACTACCAAAAGTTTCAGTAAAATGCCCATTGACGCTCAACTCCAAAGCGTGAAAGAACTAGGCAAGTTCTGTAACGAGATTCAATCTTAAACATCTCGATACTATCTTGACGATTACACTACATGTAGCTAACTAGACGCGTTTATGCAGGCCTAGTTTTCTCATACATGAACAACCCGATCATTTGGGGCAAATTTTGCGATACCTACGAGGCTCTCTATGATCGATTTGGAGACTTTGATAACTGGTATGCCCGTAATGGAGGTCCTATAGCAATTCCATCCCTTCAGGACGAGTGGAAGGCATATATGCGTGCGGTACTCGATACCACTGTCAACAACTCGAGAGTAGCGTTCGATAGACTTTACGCGCTAAAACGGTATGTTAACATTATCGCACTATAAGAATGCGAGGAGTGATTCTGATGATAGGTTTTTAGCGTTCCCATCATGAACCCAGCACACACGACGGTAAAAAGACTTTGGGACATCAATCGTCTGCAAAATAAAGGGCTTATCAAGCTAGATGGGACGTGCCCGCACCTGCCTTAGGAGACGTAGGCCGAATGACGCGAGAGAGAAGAAAGATGATTCCTAAAATTAAGAATTAAGGGTGATGGAGGTTTGTGGAATTTTTGTGCTTGGTGTAGATTTCAACAAATGTTTTGCGTATTGGATTCAGTGGTCTACTACATGTAGTTATATCGTGGTGGAGACTTCAACAGTCTTGGAGATATGGACCCTCAAATAGCAATGATTTGTGCTACGTAGTGTTGATAGAGTTTTTCTAATAGAGTCCAACATCGTTGGCTACAGCGAGCTCCAAGAGCATGCGGTTTCGCGATGAATAACCCATATATAACCATCTAGGCCGTTCCCGGGTGAACCTTTGAAGCTTCCGGCCAAGATCACAAGGAAAAGCAAATACTTCTCTGTCAACTGGAGAATATCATATATACCAACCTTTAAAGAATTTATATCCTCTGATGCGTGTTCGACCTAATGCGTAGCGCCACAAGAGGCGCGAGAATCGGAAAAGTAGTTATCTTTCTGGATATGGTAGATCTCGTATCGAACCGGCGCCTGCAGGATGGATATGCAGCTTATTTTGAGATACGTTTTCCTATACAACACTGTATCTTTATAAGCCCATGCCCATCTACCTATGACAAGTAATCCTATATCCCCATCAATATTCATTGTCCATAAGCGTGGCTCCCAACGACACGCTCGTTAAACCTTGACTCAATACTGGCTGGCACTACCTAGGTACCAATGCACTAAGATAATATCCACAATGTTCACACTGTTTCTGCTTCAATGTGTCGCCGAGTTTTACCCAATGATGCCAGCCCACGCTGATGGTTTTCTTTCGAGAAAGTCTTGAAGCGGGATCAATCAAGATGAGAGATCTAGGTGTACGGGGCTAGGAGAAGGCATAAGAGCTGGGGCAAGGCCATTGATACCTTTGCCTCCCAATAGATCAACATCTTGCGCTTCGTGCTGGACGTCGGGTTTATAGTTGTGAGGGTGATCGAAGCATCTTGTTTGATCGAGGTCAAGGGGGCCGTTCGAAATCAACTTGTTTGTCCGAAGCCAGCCCTTCCCTCCTTTCCTATCCCCTCTCCCATTCATGCCTCTCCGCCACCCTTTCATCTCCCTCTCTTCAAGGCCTGCATTACCTCGCCCGCCTTCCTATCTACTTCGTTCACCTTCCTATCTACTTTTTTTCCTAATTTTTTATTTCCTCCTTTGCAAGCAGAGGGCCCGCGTTATACATACGCACCAACATGCCCCAAAAGTCAACCTTAAAAAGGGTAATGGTGGCAACCACCGCCCCCCCAACAGGCAACAAAGGAAGCCATTGGGGAAAAGAGAAGAGGGAGAAGAAGAGGAGGAAGAAGAAGAAGAAGAAGAAGAAGAAAACGTATATGCAAATGCGTTTATAACAAGTGGTAAGTCTAGACTTGGCATAAAAAAGAAAAAGAAGAAACAAGTTGGGGGCAGCAAGTACTAAATCTTGTTTCCCCGCTCAAAGCGTTCACAGTGGTGAGCAAAGCCGCTGCGCTAATCAAAGTCGCCTTGTTTGATGGAAGCCGCCGATTTGAGCAAGGCCAACAGGATCGTTCGAAGAGAGAGTGGTGTCATATACGTGGTTAGTGTAATCCAGGTAACCAAATCAAAAGATGTCTAAGGAATTGCCTACCAGCTTCATCAGCTTTGAATGAATGAAATGAAAACTCCCGCGACCAAAATTGGCAAACCGCCGTTGGGAAGAGAGAGAAGTCTATAGTTACCCTTGCTGTCAAGGATGACAAACTGCCGCTGCAAGCAATCGTTGATCAAAAACTGTTGTCAAGAATGATAAATCGCCGCTGAAAGGAACAGCAAGCTGTTGGTAAGAGGAACAAGACGCTGCTGGTGAGAAGAATCCTGATCAACTGCCGTTGAAACGAATGACGCATCAACACTGATACGAATGACAAGCCGCTGCTGAATAGAGTCCTGAAGTAACCACTGATGTCAAGAGCGATGAATCGCCGCTGAAAAGAATAACAAAGCCAACGCTGAAAGAAAAAAAAAAAAACGCTTCTGGCGCTTAAGGAGAACCGGCGGAGAAGGAACTATGCTGTCCCAGGGCGGCTGATCGGGACCAGCGACTCTTAATCTGCCGGATCACCATGACATAAAGCTGTCGCAGCTCGTTCAACTTCGCCTCTCACTGCCTATCCCTCGTCTTCAGTTTCGCCGTTTCCCCCCTTAGTTCCCTTACACACTGGTCCTCCCCTAAAGGGGCTCATCCCTCCACCACCTAGGATGGTACCTACTGTTGGATGCAATGAATGAAGAGATGGGAAATTTGTTTTGTAAGACTAGAGATCTAAGATCCAGGATAACAAATGAGAAGTAAATACTAAGGTGGTAAACATAGCTAAACTCTAATAGGCGAACGCTCTGCCGTTATTCCTTCCAACAACTACCTAGGTACCTATATTTGTAGTCTGATATTTATAATAGTACTATACTAGGTAGGTTCTAAAGCAGCAGCAGCAGCAGTAGTAACCATAGTGACAGTAGTAACAGTAGTCGCGATAGTAGCAATAGTAGCAATAGTAGCAATAGTAGCAATAGTAGCAATAGTAGCAATAGTAGCAATAGTAGCAATAGTAGCAATAGTAGCAATAGTAGCAATAGTAGCAATAGTAGCAATAGTAGCAATAGTAGCAATAGTAGCAGTAGGCTGGATAACTTTTCCTTTGAATCATTTCTGTTGCGTCCAAAAGCCTTTTTTAGTGTCATTCCGTGGCTTTTTCTACGGATGAAATGCGCACATGCACCCATAATTAGAGCAACGGCGAGCTGAGAGCGTCTCGTTCGTCAACAAGCTCAGAAAGCTTAAATGAATGTAGACACTCATGCAGATAGCGCTGTGTCAAGAATACAACTAGGTACATACCGTAGTCAGCTATGTAACTCTCCGTTATGACATGTGTGTATCAAATGCGGTGGTATATGTATACGATGTCTCGTCTCGATTCCGGCTACGGCCAGCCCTACGTGGGTCACCAAGATTCCGTCGAGAAACCACCTCATCTCGGCTCGAAGATAAGGCCACTTCTTGAAACATCTAACTTAATCTCCTACGCAGGCAGCATTAGGTACTTTTTCACCGAGCATGCTAGCCTCCAAGTACCCGACTTCAACAACGAGTCGCATCATAATATTGCCTGTTGCAGTGTAAGTGGCTGGCGCGGTTACGGCCCGACGCTGCTTCGTGGAGGCCTATCAGCGTCGGCGTCTCCTCTCTCTCCAGTATTGTGGGTATAACTAGGACGCCACTCCAGCACTGGCTGGTTATTCAAGCTTTGTGTCCGTATATTTGCGCTTGATGTTGTTAAAATTAGAACGGAGAAGAATTCTTTCGACCATGTACAGAGGAGCCTTCGGTAATAAACTTCCTCTGGCCCATAGAAAGGTTAGCTTTAATTATCCAAATACTGCAACGGGGCTTAACTGACGAACAACAAATAAATTACTTTGCCCATGCACCCGACCAAATCCCAACCCTTTCCCAAAGACATACACCTACAAAAACGAAAAGAACAAGAAACGCAAGACGATTTAACCATGAATATCATTAAACTCCTCTCCAGCTTCCAACGGCTCCGACCGCATACTCGCAGTTATCTCCTTCGGCTGCCACTCGAAATCCTGCTGGAAATACTCAACAACCTCTCTCCATACTGCCTACTGGTCGTCTACCAAACCTGTCGCCCGCTACGCGTTATTATTCATCAGAACTTCCTTTCTGGGAAGGGAGAGATGCTGGCTACACTCAAGGATAAGCTACGCTATCTAACCTGCCTCGCCAGATCTCTTCCCAATCGATGGGTTTGTGCCAAATGCTGCAAACTTCATAAAGTTATTTGGTATGATGTGCCAGCTTACCACATATATGAACCAGAATGCGAAGGGGATACCATATGGCCCAATCGCGAAGACATTTCGAATCGCAATACGTACGACCTTCATAAGCCAGCGCATAGGCACATCCAACTCACTCTCAAGTATACTCGATCAGAGAGATTAAGCTGGAAACATCGGAAAATTCTTCAAAGCCTTCTCAAGCCACATTACTTCCCAGATAAAGAGAGATTTTCTATCAGTGACGAAGGCATCTTGGAACACTCTTCGTTTTATCCCAAGATCATAGATGGAAGATATCTATATTTATCTGTCTATACTTACCTTGGAGCTGAAAGTGGTAGTTTTTCAATCCAGAACGTCCTTGGGGCTCGAAATAAGGTATCACGACGGGATCTAAGAGGAGAAGATATATGCCATCATATACATGGATATGGATCGAGTTTCGCAATGGCTATCGACATGGCATTCTCAGCAGAAAATACTCAGCTTTTCTTTTGTTGCAATTCTTGTAGGACAGATTTTTCTATACAAGCTTCGCCAGAGCGTGCGATTATAAGAACATGGCAAGATTTGGGACCAGAAGGAACAGTGTTTGATCCAGAATGGGAGTCGTTGCTGAGCAATCTCACAAGAGTCTATCACCAGCCTGGAAGCATTCGGAACATGTATGACCAGCTTGAGAACAGCGAGGATTATTGGATTTTATATAATGCTCGATAAAATTGCAAGACATTCCTACACTGAAAGCCCTCTATTCCTACCGTATACTTGACATGTCCCATTAATAACCAGTTTAGCTTCAATAGAAGCTGTATTAATAGTGTTGATATATCTTGCTACTTGTCATTTCTCGTGCCATTAAATTCGTTCTTTGGCGGTGCTAAGGTCTGTTTTGCCACATCCTTTCTTGCCACTATCCAAGTTAAGCTAGAGTCTGTTGTCGTCGTAGTCTCTGTGAACTGGACGCGACTGGGAGAGATAGCCAGGATCTCGAATCAAATGGACGAGTGTCGAAGAGGTGGCTCTGGGCAAGTCATCGCGGACGCGCTGATTAAGAGTCTGCGCATCCAGGCCCGCGCCCCCCCGACGGCATAGTCCATCCTCCTCTGCTCTTTCATGTATTTTTATACAGCGCTTCAGCGCCCCGGGAGCGTGATTTTTTTTTTTTTTTGTGTGTTTTTGTCATTCGTTTCAGCGTTGGTGTGTCATTCTTTTCAGCGGCGATTCGTCAATCTTTCCAGCGGGGATTCGTCACTCTTGACAGCAGTGGTTACTTCAGGACCGTTTTCAACGGCGGTTTGTCATCCTTAACGACGTGCAGGTTCTTGTTCAGTCTTGATCGAATGCGTTGTAAACATCACCGCCAAAACTCTTTGGGGGATAGGAATGCCACAAGCAGCAAAACTTCCGCAGGCCTTTGAAAGAAAGATGGCTTCTGGATCTGAAGCCCAATGGAGTTTGGGAGGCAAGTTGTTCCTCATCTTTCTTCTTCTTGTTCTTTACTTGCGTATTCAGGTTAAGCTAACCACATACATGGCAATGCTCGCTCGCTGTTTCGTCGCCCTGCTTCGAGGCTTCTTGTTGTCGGTGTCCCCCTTGGTTCATCGCCGTCGGCACCAGCTCCCTCTCTACTGACCTCGCGGCTTGCGGGCTTGCCAGTCCAGTCCAAAGACGGCAGGGTGATTATATGGAAATTGATGAGGCATGGGAACTACAACGCAGAACTGGCAGGTTGAAGATTAATCTTTGAGCAGAAAGACGGCAATGCTAAAGTTGTGAGGCCAAGTTCTACGAGGCATCGAATGATTGGGAAATATAATCACTGTTCGACATTGGCATTATTGTAGAGTGAGAAGCTGGGAGCTATGTGCCAATTGTATACAGATTCTCGTTATTTGATTAACCCAATACAGCCGCTGAGCGTGTCCCAAACTCGTACCCCCTCCCTCCAGCACTCAACCCTGTAGCTATTTTTCTTGCTTTCAGTCTAGAGATTCCATATACCTTCACTCACAGTCATCAATTGCTTCCGCTACTGCTGCTACTGCTGATTTTATTCCCAAGACTCAATATGTAGTAGATATGAGTACCTCAAAATGCCCATATATCTAAAAAGACAGTAACCAAAAACAGATCACGGCTCCAAACCCATTGGATCTGCCATCATCCACGTCCATATACCGTCACCATCAGTGCCATGCCCATCTATGTCATTCCCAGCACTTCCATTAGCCTCCATCCTTTATCTCTTTAACCCTCATAGCCGTGATGCGTCCTATGATCCACGACAAGTCACAAATGCCCAGCGCCGTTGTTTCCCCTTCCGCCGCATCCTTACATCGGTTGCGCAGCTCCTTGGCCTTCCAAGCGCGGAGTTAACATCGCCTATGTCCAGTGCGCTTCGAAGTGAATTGTCGTCCTCGCCAAAGGCCAACAGCACGTTGTGGTGATGGGTATGTGTTGCTTGGCCTCGTTGCCCGCCAAAGCCGCGGGGGACGCTGACGCTGTAGAAGAGGAGAACGAGCACTAGGGCCTGCTCGATGCACATGTAGGATTCGTGAAAGTCCGTCTTTGTTTCAGCTTTTGCAAAGAGAGACTCCTCGCGGCCTGCAGCTGCTCCTGCAGCTCGTCCGCCTCCCTCTCTCTCTAGCCTTTATCTCCGCCTTTAACCTCTTCTTCAACTTCTTGTTGGCTTCTTCTAACTTCCGGATCCTCTTCTTATCCTCACTCTCTGCGGACAGAGGGCGCCCTTGCCATAACCGGACACAAACCTCTTTAAAGTCAAATTTTAAAAGGGCAATGATGCCCACTGCCAGGGAGAGCCAGGGAGAGCCAGGTCACGATGGCCACTATAAAAAAAAAAGAAGTAGAAAAAGAACGTATCCCTGATCAAGAAAAAAAGAGAGAAACCAGACAAGAAAAAGAAAGACGCCAAAGAAGAAAAATGAAGGTGGCCAAAGGAAAAGCTCATGAATGGAAATGAAAAGAGAAAAGAAACCAAGGGGCAGAAAGCAGTACAAGTACTTGTTTACAGGCTGCTCCAATAATTAACTTTCCATATCTTCGCATACAATGCCTAAAATAGGTAGAGTTCCTGTTTAGTGTATACTCTTCACAACAGGGCCTATTTTGGCTTTGTGCAATTGCCACCCATTACAATGCGATCGGCCCAACCGGGGCGTTGAGAATCGCCATTGTGGAAAGAATGTTGAGAAAAATATTGATTGAGGCTTCTAGATATGTATTGCCCAATACCTTCCACGGATAGCGTTCCATTCGCTATCTATACAAGTAGTTTTACTCGAAGATGTCTCGCCTAAACAGTATTCGCAGCTGTATATAAGATTTTGAGTTACAACTTGTGGATGATAGACGCGCGTAACTGTAAAGCGCTGGGGCATTTTGCCTTTGCCCTTGATAGATAAAAGATTGAGTTTATGAATGTGATTGCTGTAGCTCAGAGCACTGTGTATGTTATAGAACAGCAGCACTTACATTATGGTAAGTTGTACTTATTTCTCTCGTCACAATCAACAAGACGTTGTAGTAGATGTAGTAGATGTAGTAGATGCAGCAGATAAAGAAATGTAGAGATGCTGTCGCACATTCTGCCGATTACCCGAATAGGAAATAATCCAAAGATCACCAACTACAAGTCCACATTATATGCAACTAGATAGATCTTCAACATGGGGTCATAAAAGACTTGCACCATCAATCCACAGTATCAAAACAATAATCTCACTAAAATTCCTCATTTTCAGCGCATCTACATACATTCAGCAAAATATACTCAGATCAGGCAACAATATTCGAGACAATGCTTCTGACGCTCTCAACGCACATTCCTAAAGCAGCAAAGTTCACCTCGGGAAGTGTCAGAACTCTGAACTTCAAGTCGCGTCGATCGATCTATCAGCCGGCATGGATTTGTTTTTTTTTTGTCTTGGCAGATCAAGCTTTTATAATTCACAATAACACTACAGAAGATAAAGAGAAAGCGTCACGGTAGCGCGACGATATGTATGTACTTTCAGCACTTTATTCACAGTGAGCTTGTCCAGGCTAGACAAGCCTTATTAGATTTAATAGTCGTAGCACTTATAATCGCTTTAATTCAATGTTCTCATCTCCATCAACCCATTACATCCACCTCCCCTTCACATCGCTTCAATCCGAATTGTCAATCTAAGAGTCACCACCCATTAGTAACGCGTCCCACTACATCTTCGTCTTCACAAAGCACAAAGAACAAAAAAAAACTCACCCTCTTAGCGAGACTGGCAGACTCCCGTGGCAGACTTCTCATCAGCGCCCGGAGCAAGCAAGCAGATCTGTCCAAAGGGGCAGGTGACGATGCTGTCCTTCATCGTTCCGCAGACCAGCTTTCCGTTCACGAGGGGAGCGGGAGAGGCAGCAGCAAGGCCAGCAAGGGCGGCGACAACAACGGTAAGGCCGGTGAACTTCATGTTTGCGGTGGTATGTGATGAAAATGTGTGTCGTCGGTAATGACCGGTTTTTGTAGTATTACAGAAAGGACGTCGTGTTGTTAAGGAACGGCGAATAAATCACAATTGAGCTTGAAAAGAGCGACTGGACTGGATATGGACAGAAGTAACGAAAAGAGACCCTTTTCAAGCGCCTCCAAATCCGGGGGATCAGCATATTTATTAATTCTCATTCCCCAGCTACCATCAAGCCACTCACTAGCCTCCTCGTGTTGAAAAGGAGGCCAAACTGCCTAGGTACTAGTTCAGGTCAAAGCAAGCAAAAAGACATACGGCATACCGACAATCTGCCTCGTATTCTTTTGATGAACAGACCAAGGCATCGCACTTTGGATAAGCTGCTGGGGCTGCCCCCCTGGCCGGTAATTTCGGCTATCCCAATGTGGCCTGCGCTTTTGGGCGGCCCCGCCCCTTTTAGACAGGGTGCCCCTGAATAGCGTCGGTCAGCAGCTCTAGCTTGCTGCGTATGGAAATGCCTGCTTGAAGCTGTATTGATGGCATAGCCAGTGATTCTATGTTGTGATACAATCTTGAGTCTGTTGCATTCATCAATTACTACTACTAAATAGCAGTAACAGGTGCATTGGAGGCATCATGGCGTGTCCATACTTGCATTCGCGCAGTTCCTATCGAGGACCCTGAAACCACCCTAGCAGATCAAGTTAGATTGCCCAAAAGCCTCACTGGGGATTCTGTGGGGACGCCCGCATTGAGCTGTGATTGATATGCCACCCTTACGATGGCACGCTGAAATGCTACTCAACCAAACGTGCCATCGCTTGGGGCCAGTAATGCAACCGTCTGTCATGATAAGTTTGACAGGTCGTCTAATACCCTTTTCATGTTGCACCGCTACCGGTATGAGTAAAATTATATGTCACACCGCCAGCAGCCATTCATATATACACCTTGTTCAATGCAGGAACCAAATGCAAATGCAATGCCGTACCATGCCATGCCAGTTTTGCAGTATCCTTTACGCCAGTCAATGAGAAAAGCCAGCCACGTGAAAACAAAGTAACAGTTCCAAGATCCGCCCCGTATTCATCAGCCATGTCGTGACATTTGATTGCTTGTTCCGTCATCTAGCTAAGAAGCTCCTTGATATCCTCTATCCTCTGAAGCTTCTTCTCTTCGTCGTTCATCATGCCCAAGGACGTCGCTCTGCGTTCAATCAAATTAGCACCGTGAAACCCCCAGACCAAACAAGGAAAACATGACTTACATAAACTTCTTCCTCTCCTGAATCTTCAACATCCTCTCCTCCACACTCCCCTTCACGATAAACCGCTTCACCACCACCTCGTCCTGCTGCCCCAGTCTGTGCACCCGATCAATCGCCTGCAACTCCACGGCATAGCTCCACCAGGGGTCCATCATAAACACGCGCCCCGCGCTCGTCAGATTCAGTCCCACGCCGCCCGCGCGCAGACTCATTAGCATCACCACAAAGCCTTTGCTGTCTGAAAATTCCTGCAGCACCGCGGCACGCGCCTTTTGCGTCATGCTTCCGTCGAGTCGAAGGAACTTGATGTTGGCGCGGTTTAGCGAGGCCTCGATGAGCGACAAGAAAGACGTAAACTGTGAAAAGATGATGGACTTCATGTGAGGCCGTTCACGGCGTAGTGATCGAAGCTCTGTCAATAACGCGGCAACTTTGGCAGACGATGAATTGACGCCCAGTCGCTGCAGGCTGATGCGCGGTTTCGAGGCAAATGCGTCGCCTTCGTCATGCCGCACGACCTCGAATAGATCACGCTGATTGATCGGTGCTCGGCAGTTGAAGCACCTCGGCACTTTGCCATGGTCCGTCTCATGTTTGATAAAGTCCATCAAGCACTTTTTGCATGCAGAGTGCCAGCATCCAGTCACAATCTGCTCATTCATTGGCTCGTCAAAGCACAGGGGGCATTCCTTTTCTGCTTCATTCCGGATCTCGTCCAGCGCATGTGCTCCGTATGTCTGCCTATCGTTAGTCGCTTCATCCGTGATGGCAGTAAACTGTGTAATCAGCGATTCGAGGTCCATGTCATCGCCCAATCCAGTGGCTGCGTCTGCGGCGGCTCCAGCCTCTTCCTCATCGGCGACAATATCCTTGTTGCGGACAAGAACAGGATGACAGCACGATTGACGGAGACGCATAATCTGAGCAAAAATAGTTGTGAATGCCTTGAGTACAGTGCCAGCCTCTACGTTCTTGGCAAATGTGTTCTTCACTTTGTTAAAGATGTGGTCATAAATGTCTCGTTCCGTTTTGGATAGCTCCACCTCCACCAGGTCAATCTGTTTCGGGGGAAGTTGTACCAAGGGCTGGCCATCTGGTGTCTTCATATCCTTTGTTCTTCGCGTAACCAATGGTTCCAGAACTGTCTGCACAACGTCCAATGCGCGCACAAAGTCGCCTGATTCGAATGGCACAGTGATGAATGTCTTCCAAAAGGAAAAGTTGTTCCAAGGCTCAACTCTCAGGAATCGCACCAAGCTAAAGAGGTCTTCCAGCCTGTTGACAATCGGCGTACCGGTTAGGGCCCATCGATGGTCGGCCGTAATCTCATAACACGCGCGCGCAGTTTTAGAAGCTCGGTTTTTGATGTAGTGGGCTTCATCCAGAATCACTCGGAAGAATTTGAGCGAAAAAATGCCGGTATGAAACGATCTTTCGCCGTTTTTTGCGACAACGCTGCCAAATTCTGATAGGACGACTCCGTAACTGGTGATGACAAGATCCGGTGCGTTGGAGCCACTGCACAGCGACTGCAGATTCAACGCCTTTTCAGCACCGTAATAGAGCTGAATCTTCATGGTGCCTGCTTTTGAGGCCTTCTCGGCTTCACTGTGCCACTGCGATAGTAGAGACATTGGAGCAACCACAAGAGTAGTACAGGGCGCATCCACGACGTATGATGAGTTCTTACCCAGTCGCTGGAGTTGATTTAGTCCATCTTTAGAGGTTGATCTGGCGTTGTGCGAAGCCTCGGATCGGTGCGAGTGTATCAGACTGAGCATCTGAATGGTCTTTCCGAGGCCCATTTCATCAGCAAGAATGCCGCCGAGACAGTGCTGCTCCTGAACAGGGAAATCTAGTGTGAGCTCGCCGGAGTATGGGTTGACATAAAACTTGGATTGGCCTTCTACTGTTGGTAAATCCTTGTCGTCAACATCCTTGATTGGCCACAGATACTCCTCCCACAATGGATGCATCGAGGGTTCTCTATGGCTCCGCTCATCCTTCTCCTTGGCCAGCATCCAATGCAAAGACTGCTTTTGATATGGCCGCAGCGACATGGCAAAAGTGCTCGCGGGCTCAGCTTCTGGCATATTAAAGTCGAAAGTCTGGGCCTTCTTATACAGCGAATCAAGCTGATCTTGTTCAAGCTCCTCTCCTTCTTCAGCTTCTTCCGACGGTGATGAGTTTCCAGATTCCTTGTTGCTGTTCACTGTTGCCTTTTTCGAGTCCTTTTGCTTCTGTTCATCCATCTCGGCAGCCTGAAGAAGCCCCTTTCGCCCACCCTTTGCTGCAGCATTTGCGGCAACCGGCTGTAGGTTGATTTCCTGGAAAAGCCTGACAAGAGCAACTTGTCGAAGTCGAAGTTCCTTCTCTTGCGCCGTCTCAATCTGCTGTTCGAACCATGTGGCTGAAGAATCGTTGGCCGGCTTGAAGCTTCGGTCGAAGAAGGCGGAATTGAGCAGGAAGCATCTCAGCTGGAGAAAGATGGTATCGTTTGTACGCACACGCTCAGGGCAATACACGCATGTCCCTTCGAAACCGCAAATCTTTTGATCTATCAATGTCGACACCCAGTTCGCAGTATCCTTAGCCAGCCGTCCAATTTCTTGGCCGCTTTGGGTGGTAAATCGTACAATCACGTCGACTCGTCTCGAGGCAGCGGTGTTCGTCTTCACAGGAGTAGGAGGGGCGCCAAGCCGGGGCTTCGTCTTTGGGGGCAGAGGAGGTTGTATCTTTTGCCGCTCAATCTTGACGATTTCGCCATGCTTGAGCAAGTTTGCTCCACTTCTTGTAGCCCATCCCTCGACACCGAATGCGCCAATGTATCGTGAGCTCGACATGGTTCGTCGGATGGGAATCGGCGAGGATTGGGTCGGCGCATCGGTCAATGCTGTTCGGCTGGAGCCCGGCGTGGCGGAAGATGCTGTTGGGTGAGACACTGGCTTCGACTTCATGAGTTTCTTGTAGGTGCCGTCAAAGTACATGTTGACCGCTCGTTCCAGATTGTTCCCGCAGTGTTGCTGAATGGTCCTCAGGATATCGGCAGCAACTTTACATCCGACAAAGCTTTCAAACGTCTCTTGGTCAAAGGTCACCGATGAGGACTCGTGCTGGAGCGTGGATTCCTCCCGCGGGGCTCGTCTAGAGGCAGCTCCATTTTCGCGAAGCTGGGTAAAGGCATTGCGATCTTCTTGTTCGGTCTTGATGCTTCTGTTCCTCTCCAGCTCTCTCTCTTGTTCCGCCCACCCATCAGCGTATTCTTCTTTCGCCTTGCTCTCTTCTATTTGAGCTTCCCTCTCGGCGTCTTCAGTCGTGAAGAACAGCCTTGGCTCTTGACTCGAGCTGTATTCGTGTTTGGGACTACTGAAAGCCACCGGATCCGATGATGCCTCGTCCGGGTCCTTGAAGAATCTGCGCCTCTTCACCGGAGGCTCTTGCGAGGATCCCAGCTCCATAGTTGCGCCGGGACTCTCATCTGGAACATGCAAGCAGAAACCAGAAGCCGTGACTTTTCGCAGCGTTTGCCGCTAAACCCGCCGGGAGACGCGCCTAGGCTTCTGACAAACGCGAACCGCGTAGAGAGGTCACATGACCGCGTCATCAATCTACGCTATCCTGGTAGTTGCCCCATTTGTCCGACGGAGTAATAGACCAGCCAATCATGAGCTTTTTATATCACGGCTTGGGAAGCTGTCACTCGCTGCCCTTTTTTTCAGTCGCAAAAGTGCCCGTCATGCATGCGACTCTTTTCTTGCCCGAGCCCATCGCTATGACGGCTGCGCCAATCAAGCCGCGATAAGCATCATCCCACGCTGCATGCATCGTCCCGGCATTCTAGGCAATGGCCTGAAAAGGCTCGCCAGCGCGCCTCGGAGCCGTCGCAGCTTCGCAACGGCGACGGACGCTGACGTCGAATCAGCTCGGCGATACTGTTTGAAGCAGCTTCAGTATGGCGTCAATCCGTTCCCCAGCCCTTTTTTTCTTTGACATGACAAGGCAACTTTACCGCCTTGTTGCTTTCTGCTACAGCTTCTAACGACTTCTGCCTTATCACAGGACCAGCGACTACGATGCCCACCTCATCCACCGCTTCATCCCGCCGCCCGTCCAGGACACTTATGCCGCCCTCCGCGCATTGAACCTCGAGCTCGTCCGCCTGCCCGAGTTGGTGTCCAATCCCACCATTGGCGTCATGCGCATGAAGTTCTGGCAAGAGTCCATTGACAAGACGTTCGCCGGGCAGCCTCCCCGTGAGCCAATCTGCATCCTGCTCCACCGCGGACTGCAGCAGCTCGAGCTACGGGCCGGCAGCTCGTCGACGGCAAAGTCCATCAAATTCTGGGTCTCGCGCCTGATCCGCACGCGCGAGAGGCACATGGACAATCGGCCCTTCGCCACCCTGGCCAGCCTGGAGGACTACGCCGAGCACACGTACTCCACGATCATGTATGCGACTTTGGCATCCATGCCGCTGCGGTCAATGCACGTGGATCACCTGGCCAGCCATATCGGCAAGGCGTGCGGCATCGTCGCTGTGCTTCGGGGCATTCCCATCCTCGCCGCCCCCGCGCAGCCCGTCAGGAGCCCTTCTGGCCTCGATACCCCGAGCCGCACCCAAGCCATCCTGCTGCCGCTGGACATCATGGCCGAGGAGGGTGTCAAGGAGGAGGAGGTCTTCCGGCAAGGCCCCAACGCCCCCGGACTACAGGATGCCATCTTCAAGGTCGCCACCCGCGCCAATGACCATCTGATCACGGCGCGAGAGATGCTCAAGAGGTTAAAAGCGGGGCAGGATCCAGGCCACGAGTTTGAGCACCAGGGCGAGGGCGAGCACCAGTACTTTGAGGAGGAGAACAACGACACGGCGCGAGACATACGGCGCGGTTTCGGGGCCTTGTTAGAAGCTGTGCCCGCAGCACAATGGTTGTTAAGCCTGGAAAAGGCCAACTTTGACCCGTTTGCCGTGAAGAGCAGCGGGTGGAGGCTGCCGTGGGGTGTATGGCAAGCTCTGTCTAAGGAGAGGATATAGCAAATGTACAATACAATTCTGTACAATACAAAAGTTCAAAGAAAAAAGAAAACATAATGCAACTCAGGACAACACTCAATTGCCAGTGCAGAAAGCCCTGTGTGAAGGTACCTGTTGAAAATAGCATCTATTGTCATGTAGTAGTATTACACTGCGTATGATGCGATTACCTAACACGCCTCGGAGTCAGATACGCCGTCACCCTTCACCACGGCAAAATCTCGGCGCAACAGCTATGCTCAGATTTCAACCCATCCCGCAATCGCAACCATACCAAGAAAAAAACCACACCATTCAGATCGTAGATGCTGTCGCAAAGATGCTCTACGAACTCATTGCCATTGTAAGCAGCGATATCTCGCTCAATTCACATCTTCAATCCGCTAATCTGTCTTTTTTTCACAGGTCCGGCCGGGCAGCCTCACCGAGGTAAAAGAGTACGTCTTCACATCAACTTCAACATCCCACCAACCAGCCAGCATCGCTCACTATCCTCCGTTTCTCTCCGTCAATATACCCGCTCACAGCTAATCCAACAAAAAAACAGAATCGCCCAAACCGTCGGCTCCCTCGTCCTCAAAAACGGCGGCGTCGTCCGCGGCCTCTCCAACTGGGGCGTCTTCTCCCTGCCCAAGCCAATCTCCATCCACCAGATGAAGCACACCCACGGCCACTACTTCGTCATGCGCTACGACTCCTCGACCAAAGTCCACCAGGACGTGCGATCCACGCTGCGCCTTGAGCCGCGCATGATTCGCGCCGCGCACGTCAAGCTCGGCGACGGCAAGCTCGAGACGGTGTCGAGGTTTGGGCCGCCCAAGTGGAGGACGCAGGGCAGTGAGGCGTAGATGAGTTGGGGGGGAATAAAAGAAAAGGAATAAGAATGATTTTGTTATTGAGGAGTTTTTCTCTTTTTTTGCTTTATAAACCGTATGGAGGCACCTTTTTGGATGCAAAACGACTTACAAACATCATGGGAACGGGAGTACATGCGCTAGCTGGGATCCAAAAACGGGATTAACGTCGTGTAAGATTATGATGATGTACCAGAAAAAATGAGAAAGAGGCGCCGACAAGGGCCAGGGGAACTATCAATGCTTGGCATCAATATGCAACACGGGAACAGGAGCTGATGTTTCTAAATAACGCTGTACAAGTTCGTGGTCACAGAAAACAGCACTGCCACATCATGAGACATGAGATGGTGGTGTCAATGGAGGGAATGTATAAGGATCCGACATATGATACATAGTGTATATAAGTAGCATATATACAACATCACACTACGCCATCTTGTCTGACACAAGTTTGAATCTTGTTCAATTGGCGCTTTAAGTCTATGTCGTCACAAATATTGTTTGCTAGAACAGCTGAAAGTCTGCGCTGCCAGCCTCATCTAGCATCCCTCTAAAGATCATAGCCAGTCCTTTTTCCTTCCAGACGAAGAGGAACTCGCTTTGGTTCATTATAATAAGGATGAACCCCTCATGCCGTCAAAACGTATCAATCAATGTCCATCCCGGATAAGCGTGTTGTGTAAGATGGCTATCCATGTCACTTCATGTTCACTGGTCATCGACATCCATAGTCTCAGACTTCCCAATGCCCTTCTGCTTGCACCAATCAACAAAGTCGTCAATGACACTTGGCCATGCGCCATCCTCATTCCAAAATGATAATGACTCGTCCTTGATAGTCTTCAGGGCGAACTCCAAGATCATGTTCCACATATCCCTGTTAACGGATCTGGTCCACTTCTCGCCCAAAAACGTCTTCCACAGCTCCAGCCAGTCGTGTTTGCCTTTCCATGCCATACCCGGGGCCGAGAACAGCATGCTCCAGTAGATGAGAGCATTTTCCAGGGCCAAGGACTTTTGGTCCTTCTCGCGGCCAGCGACAAAGGCGTACCTGTAGACTTTCTTGAACAAAGCGCTATCTGATGACAGATCGGAGATGAGCTTCCGTACATAAGAAGCGTGCTCTTGGTGCGACGCCCCAGCCCTACCAACCATGAGTATTTCGCTAATTTAGGGTTTGAAATTCAAACATATCAAAAGACTTACCCGCTTGCCTTCCAACCGTCGATAAATCCGGCTCTGGTGATTTCGCCCACACTAGGGGCTTGCACAAGCTCCAGGACCACGAAAAGCTCAGCGTTTTCTAAGCTGACATTAAGTTTCTCGCTTAGGTAGCCCATGGTAGACTCCAGCTCCAGCTTGTCCTTTTCATCATTTTCGTCATCTATCAGAATGGTAAGCTTATGGGACAAACTTTATATCTAGCAGCAATAGAACTCTACCTCTTAGTGAATCGAACAGAGCATCCAATTTGGAATCCAAGGGAGAGGGACCTTTTGCCTCATTGGCCGAGTTCATATAAAATCTAAAATCAACCCGTTAGCTACTGCTGCGGCGCAAATTGTGTATCTTGTGCAAAGACGAGAGAAGGAAGAAGCGATGCAGCGCCGTCACTTGATAGTCGTTTGCAACAGTGTATTCGATTCAACGTAGAATTGCCGTCTTGATGCTCGCTCCCGTGTTCCCAAGTCATCCAGAGTAAAATATACCGTCCAGGATCCTCCTTGGCAGAGCCATCTGCGCCATGCTTCTCCCGCTTTTTCTTGGACAGCAACGCCTTTGCGACTTTAGACGGCAGATGTTGTTTGACGCCTTTCCAACCCAGCATCATTCTAGGCCCGATGCACGGGATGCATGCGTCCCTGAACTGCTGGGTCTTGGTTGTCTGGTCTCTTCGTCGTCGTCGTTGTCGTCGTCTCGGGTGGAGAGTCGGCAGCCAGGAACCAAGTCTATGGGTGATACGCGCAAAACGAACAGACAAGGAGAAAGCTTATAGCAGGAGCCAGATAGACGGAGGGAGTGGTATCACAAGAGATGGAATGGTTCGACAAGACGCAGGGTGCAAATGAGCGCAATCAAGAGCGCTCGGATCGTCTGGAGAAGCTCCCCAGGATCTGGGTTTGCTCGGGAGCCGGGAAGATATGCATAGAGGCGTGGTCGAAAATGGATGTTTGACGCATCCGGAAGACGACAATGCTATACGATCTGGCAAGGTAGCATCTTGGCAAGCCGTAGCTTTCTGACGTCTCTGTTTCAGTAGCATCGGCGGCGCTCGGCCATACTCTGGTGAGTGTCCGACAAGACGGGCGGGCTTCGCCTTAGTGGGACCCCCACAGTCAAACCCACACCGATAACAACACTGGAAGCCTGGCGATGCATCATCTCACAGCGAAATTGTCCGAGAAGCGCCGTGAGAGGTCTGATTCGAGGAATATCCGACGGGCTGGACGGGAGGCGGGAGGGGGGCATATCGGGGAAAATTCCAGGCGGAGATTTGAGGCTCATAAGGGGTTGGAGGGTTGATAGAGGGCGACTTACGCATCAACGGCCTCATTGAGCTTGTAGCCGGTTGACTTGAGATACTGCACACCACCAGCACGTTAGCCAAACTCGCGGGATCAGAGCCGCTCCATCGGGATGCACGATTGCCTGCCGCGGCCGCAGCCTCACATGTCCAGCAGCTGCGGTGCAAGCCGAAACGGTCAGCCTCATGCCAGCCTCATGGCGCCGACCCAATTTTTCTGCCCCGTCTGCGTGCCATGTCGTGATCCATGGACCAACAAGGCCATGGCCCGAGCAAATGCCCGTTGGGCTTTCGGCCAGGCTGCCGGCCACGGCAAAGGATAGAAGGGAGAAGCAACGTTATCTCAACGTACCCGAGTCGCCTGACGTTCCGAGACCCCAGTCAGGGAAACGAACTGTGCGAGGAGGATCTTCTGTTGTGCCAGCGAAGGGGGAGGCATCGTTGCGAGAAGAGGAAGGTCGGCAGCCTTGGGATATGAGCCGAGTCACACGAGCGTCTCCGCGCGGAGATGAGGATGCGTCGCCGTAGCTTGCTGGATAAAGCACCGAGAAGCCCCCCGAAAGTTTGTATGCGGCCTTGCCCGGTGCAGCAGACGAGAGAGCTGCCGTGGACTGTAGCAGAGCAGAGCGTCGATCGTTTTCGGACGAGTCAGTGATGCGATGATGTTTCGCTTCTACGGCGTCGAGTCGAGAAGCTGCGGCTTGAATCAAAACGGCGGATGGGCGGTTGTGCACGCACACGACGGTTCGAAGACGGCGGTGCTAGCGATGGGTGCGTCTCGTCTGTCGTCAGTCTGTCGTCTGGATGAGATGAGATGCGAGATGTGCGTCCAGGAAAGGGCAGATCGTGGAACACTCGGCGCTGCTGGGAGGAGAGGCTTTGCTTTCGGTCTGGCGGAGAGCAGAAGATGGACTCACGCAAGGCTGCGATGGTGGGGTTGGGTAGGTATGGATGATGTGGATGTGGATTGCTGCGGGCTGGGCTTATGCTAGAGCAGTCGCTGCCGCATAGGTACATGTAGGGAATTACTGCAGTAGTGACAGCGGCAGCAGCAGCTGTAGTGGCGAGCGAGGCTTGCAGGGGCGAGAAGAGCGCTGTCGGCAGCAAATTCTATCCTGTCAACATGAAGGTTCGAGTTACTTCAAAGCGGTAAACGGCCAATGTCAGCTCCTCACAAGAGCGAATTTGGAAAGCTTATTAACGCTTCTTCCTTCCATGGAATCGATGTCAGTGCCTAGGCAGCACTGCCGTTCTACGAATTCTAGAAATTGCAGCTACTGCTACTAAGCTACAGGGCACATCTTGTTACCTTTGTTCGTACACTGATCCTCTCAACATGTACAGTGTTAATGTATGGGTCGCATTCTTTTCCAATCCCCTTCTTCTCTCAGTTCGATATCGTCAAAGAATTATCGTGATCCTGTGGCCTGGCTATTGTCTGTGGCCTCTACGCTGACACAACAATGTCAAGTCTGCATGTGGTCAATATCAAACACTGCACGTGGAGCTAAGCCCGCTAAACGGCGTTGCATCCCACTACAACGGCCCATGCTTTCAGTGCATCTTGCCGCTAAGGAACAGGCCATGGATGTCATCAATCAACGCGTTAGCAGTCTGTGTCCAAGCACTGAGACGCGTCTCTTATCGTTTATCAGTTGACGGCATACAAACACTTGATTTTACAGCACCTGCGTTATAGTGGCTGCATACTTTACCTGTACATGCGCACTCCAACTTCGTATGCTCAAGGCAGCAGCAGTAATAGCAGTAAGCTCAGCTGCTCATGCTTTAGACAATGGCCTCGCCTCATTCCTCCGGGGATGAAAACTACGGAATAGACCCCTCCGTGCCGTTCAAGGGCGTCATTGTCTGCTGCACCGACATCCCGACTGATCAACGGGTTCGTTTCGACTCTCCGAGCTGTATACTCTAGTGAATATCGTCCACAAGTGCTAACAAACACTCGATTCTGCCTCCAACAGACGGACATTGCCCAAAAGGTTGCCGAGCTCGGCGGCGTCCACAAATACGATCTCACACCAGACGTTACGCATCTCGTCGTCGGTGGCTACGACACCCCCAAGTACCGCCATGTTGCGCGCGAGCGAGTCGACATCAAGGCCATGGACGCCGGCTGGATCGTTGCCGTCAGCGAGCTGTGGAAAAAGGACGAGGAGATTGATCTTGCCGCGCTGGAAAAGAGCTACCAATTGAAGCCACTGGAGACGAGCGGCGCCGAGCCTTGGTCGGAGGAAGAAGAATCGCCAGCCGCAAGAGGATCTCTGCTGGTATGTCTGACGGGCTTTGGCGAGCAGAGAGACAAGATTGCAGAGACAGTCAAGCAGAATGGAGGCCGTTTCACCGGTGACCTGACCAGGAGATGCACGCATCTGATTGTCAACAAGCCCGAGGGCAAGAAGTTTACGGCGGCCAAGTCGTGGGGTGTGCATACGGTCACCTTGGACTGGCTCAACCAGAGCGTCGAGCGCGGCATGATTCTAGAAGAAGCCAAGTTTGATCCGCTGCTGCCTGTAGAAGAGCAAGGTTCTGGCGCTTGGGTAAAGACGGATCCAAGAAGGACATCCCTGGGGAAGAGGGCAAGGTCGGCAATCTTAAATGGCGGGCCGGACGAGGGTGCAAGGAAGCTGCGCAAAACCGCCAGCATGAAGCTGAGCTCACAGAGAAATGACCTCTGGGGCGACATTCTGGGTAGATCCGCATCAAGAGAGTACTCGTTTGCTCATGAGAATCCGCTCAAGGAGGAGACACAGGCACAGGCACAAGCACGCCCTGCGCCAACGCCAACCTCTGAAGTTCCCACGCAGCCAGGCTACTCTCTCCAGGAGGACCAAGGCGTCTTTGCCAACTGCACCTTTTTCATCCATGGATTTCCGACACAAAGAGCATCTATACTGGAACAGACAATTACCACCCTTGGCGGCAACGTTGCGACATCGCTACAATCCCCTGCTATGCTGTCTGAACCAACAGACCCTGAGCATTGTCGGTTCCTCATCGTCCCCCAAACCTCACAGCCCGATACCCATCCCACCGTACCAAACGAACACATCCACATCATTACCGAGTTTTACATTGAAAACTGCTTGCATAACAAGCGATTCTTTAGCCCCAACGAGCAGGTGCTCGGACGACCTTTTCCCCTTTTCCCCATCCCTGGCTTTTCCAGTATGGTCATATGTAGCGCTACATTCACCGGAATAGAGCTCAACCAAGTCGCGAGAAGCGTGACCCAGCTAGGCGGCAAGTATGAAGAAGAATTCCGACGATCGACAAACGTGCTGGTGTGCAAGTCTCTCATGTCAATGCGCAGAGAGAAGCTGAAATGCGCGCTGGACTGGGGCGTGCCCGTTGTCTCGGCAGACTGGCTTTGGGAATGCATATCCAGCGCCGGTCTGGTCCCCATTGAAGACTTTATATACCCCGAAATTAAGAAGCGTCGCGTAAAACGACGAGATCCTTTTGTCAACGAGGAAGAGGAGCCCGCCCCAGCAAAAGAAGCCTCTCAAGCTCGAAAAGAAAAGGCTACACCTACAGACTCAGAAGCAAAGCCCACAGCCCGGACTTCCAAGCCTACCATCGGCGCTGGCGTCGATACTACGGCTTTTGACAAGGATGCTACTGAGAAAAGCCGCGTCAGGCAGCATACACTCGAGTCAATTACATCGGCAGACTTTATGACAGCACCAACTCATCTCGTTGAAAGCGTACAAGCAGATACTCCTCCTCCCCTATCCGAGCTGTCTGCCGCCGCGCTCAACGTGTCACCGAAGCTACCAGCTGCCAAAGTCAACGTCCCTCGCACCATATCTGCGCCGGCCAAGATACCAGATAGCAATAGAAAAGAACAATCAATCCCTCCTGCCCTCGACCCTTCTCCTCCACCTCCGCCATCAGCCCCTGAACCTCTAAAAGCATCAATACCGAATCCAGCCCCTGAATCAACAACAAAGCAAACAGAAGAAGAACAAGAAGCCGAAAAGCAACGCCAGCTCGCCGCCGCCGAACTCCGCCAAGGCCTCACATCCGCCCTCTCCGACCTCATTCCCCCGCCCCCAAAGTCCACCTCGCTCAGCGACAACAACCACAACCAATCCGACTCTCGCACCATCCGCCGCCGCCGCCAGAAGATCCTCGGCCGCGCCATAAGCAACGCCTCCAACACGAGCAGCGCCACCAGCATCGACGCCGTCGTCCCTCGAGTTGCCGCCGCCGCATTGCACGACGATGACGACGAAGAGCACCAGCAGAGACAGTCTCCGCCGGCGACGCAGCTCGAGTATCGCGATCCGGAGGCGATGGAGACAAAGGCCATGCTGATGAGTCGGATGACGGGTGCTGCTGAGGGAGCGACGGAGGTGCTTGGGCGGACGAGGTCTTCTGCTAGGAGGAAGTGAGGGTGTGAATGTAAGTTTTGGGGAGCATTTGGGCGTTGTATGCTGGACTATGTAATGATGGTGTAATAATGCTTTACAATCTTGGGAATGGATAATGAATGAGATATAAATCAAGAAATAGATGAATGAACGAAATAATTATTATTATTCATAGTTTCATGTTCATGCCATTAATGTCATTAATGCCATAATAAATCATGCATTTACCCACAGACAATTCAGATATGTTAAAAAAAAATGCATAAACACCATTCATGTGTACCTCTATATATTTCACCAACGCCCCCAAATCCTGTGCTATCACATGGAAGAGAAATGCATTGATGTATCAAGCTACCTACGCGCCCCAGGGGTGTTTCTGGACTGAGGTTCTGTAAGAGGTTAACTCCTCTGAAAGGCTCAGTATTGAAATCTTTCAGTTGCCTTTTTATAAGACTTGGAAACATGAAATCTTTTTAGTGCCTTTAACGTTGAGGCCTCCAGAGGAATCACCAGAGGTTCCGAAAAAGACCCCTGGGGCGCGTAGGTATATACAGTATTGATGCCTTTCAAAGTAAAAAAGAGAGAAAGTAGAAAAGAGAAAAGAGAGAAAAAGGAAAAAGAAAAGCAAGCAGCGACCGAATGTTCACACTGGGTATCTATCATTTCAACAGACAAAAGAAAAAAGAATGCATCAGCGCAATGTTGCTCACGCCAATGCCTCGCCAAACGCCATAAGCATTTCCCCCAAAATGCAAAAGAAAAGAGAAAGAAAAAAGAAAAAAAAAAAGTGTTCAGTACCTTGACTGTCACACCGACAGTTGGTTTTTAATAAGCAACGGGCAGCTTGGACGCCGAAGCCGGCCTCTTAATCTCCTCGCCCGAAATCTCCTCGTCTCTATCGGAGAGCAGCTCCGACTGCATCATTGCCCAGCGATGCTCCAATTCCTCCCTAAAAAATAACAACTGTTAGTACTATGTTCTGTTGTAAAGAGAAGTGATATTCCTCACTGAGAGCCCTCAATCGTCCTCACGCTCATGCTTTCAAGTACCTTGATCAGCCTCCTCAGCGTCCTCTCCCGCTTGAAAGACACAATCACACCCCCCCTCGGCCGTCCATCCTTTGACGCAAGCCGTGTGGTAGAATCACCACCGCTGCTGCTACTTCTCTCGGCCATCATGAAATGCGCCTTCATGACGCGTCGGTTCCACACCACGTCCATGACGTCGTCGATGCGCACGTCAAAGTTGACTGGCTGCTTCAGCACGCCCCATCGCGCCGGGTGGCCCTCCTTCAGGACCTGGTGCTCCAGACAGCGCCCTTGTTTGGACCAGTGCAGGTACTGCGTGACGCGGGACGAGCTGGTGTAGAGGCGCGACTTGATCTGGTCGATGCCGAAGTCGTCCTTTGTCAGGGCGGCGCCGCTCCAGAGATCCGTGTCGGTGAAGTCGGCCGTGTCGTCGACGAGGATGCGGTATGGCCGAATAGATGGGGAGAGCGTCCTGGCGCGCTTGCTGATGGGGCCGCCGCCTGAGACGGGCGATTCAGAGGCCATCATGGGGTTGTCGTTGCCGCCTTCAGACGTCAGGTCTGTTGAGGACCCGTCGTGGTCGGCAGTTGTTCCGTTGAAGGAGTAGGTGCTCTTTCGCTTGGATACATGGTGCTGGGCCTCGTTGGACGGGGCACCTTGGCTGCGGCGGCTTGCCTTGACGCCCGAAGGCCGGCCAATGTTCTTGAAGCCAGACTTTGCACGCAGCAGTGCCAGCTTGGGGTCGTTGTAGAAGTTGTGGATGATCCTCGACACGTTGAAGGCGGCGCCCTGCTCCAGCCAGAGCTCGTGCAGGCGCTGTCGCATCCACTCCAGGGGATGGATGTCGAGACCATATTTGGCCAGCTCGCTCAGCGTCTCGCACAGCCGGAAGAGGGTGTCGTAGGAAGTGATGCTGCCCTTGCCGGACGTGGTGTACTTTTTGCTCAGCAGCTGGTAGGGGCTGATGTCGCCCTCGTCCAGGAACTCGAGGATCTTCAGGCCGCGGTTCACCTGTCGCCCCAGCTGGAACCTCGTCGAGGCCTTGTCCACGCCCTTGTCCTTGGACTGCATGGCCTGCTGGTGCTTTTCGCGCCACTGGTTCAGGGGCGGCTCGATCAGGCTCTTGATGTCGGGCCACTTGGGGTCCCAGTAGGGGTGGCTTGGGTCAATCTTTTCCAGGGGCACGCCCTCGATGATTTCGGGGTAGGTGTATTCCCGGCCGTTGTGTTTGAGGACAAGTGTCTCGCGGGTGATTTTGGGGAGGTCTGGGTGGTCGGCTGAATCTGAGGGCTGGGGCGAGAATTCGATGGAGCGTGGCGTGGGACTGTTGTCCTGGGAGGAAGGGCGGCTGGGGACATTGGCGGGAGTGAAGCCCGAGCTGAATGTGTATGCTCGAGCTGGCTCGTGGCGGGGCTCTTTGAGTGCCGGCAGCTGGTGATGTTGATGCTGATGTTGTTGATGTTGATGCTCAGACTGATAACTAGCTGGTCGACTAGAAGGCAGCACACGCCTCTCTGTGGCTACGGGCTTGAGCTCTTCTTGCTGAAACGGCTTGGAGTTGGCCATTTCAGTCGACTGGATGGCGTGCTGAGCAAACCCGGCCGCAGCAGCGAGTGCCTCCTGGGCAGCCTGCTCCTTTCGAACCTGGAGATTCTGCAGAGTCTGCTGTGCCATAATCTCCTGCTCGCGTCTATCATCACGCTGATCCCGGATCGGCTCCTTCTTGTCCTCGACCTCCTTTCTCGGCTCTTCCTGCGGAGATGCTCGTCGCGATGGCTCTGTGGCAATCTCCACCTTTGTTTCGGTTGGTGAGAGTATTATATGCGCATTTCGTGGAGAGCTCTGCGAGACTCCGTTTGCCTCGATGACTTCTCTGATACCAAGTCCCTCTCCGCTAGATGTTGTTTCAGTGGAAGCCTCCTCTTGGGGAATGCTACGAGGCGAAACATCTCTATCAGCGGCCGGTGAGCCTCCGTCTTTGCGCAGAGCCGCACCATGACAGCCCTGGCGATTCCACTCGCAGTTGCCGCATTTCTGGAACAGAGGCCCGCCGATGATGATGCAGTCGTCAAAGGCGCCCTGGTTCTTGTCGCAGGAGACGCACCGCTGCTCCTGCACCTCGCCAATGGCCTGGATCATGCACGACAGCCACTTGACGCCCTTGGCCTCGGTGTGCTCGTAGATGCCGGCGAGGTGGTCGGCGGTGAACTTGCGGCCGCGGCGGATCTTGACGGGACGCTTGATGGGCAGGCCGAGGATGGCTTTCACCCACTGGTTCCACGGCTCGGTCTTGTTGATGGGCCCGATGATGCGTCCGTCGGCGTCGACGAGGTCAACAATGGGCTCGATGGGCTCCTGGAGGATGCCCTTGAAGGAGGCCAGGGACGGCGTCAATGGCGTAATCGCCGTCTTGGCCGCCACTTGTCTGGTGACAATGGCCGGCAGCGTCATGGGCGTCTGCTGTGAGCCCTGCTCGTGCCAGTACTCGACGCCTTCCATCTCGGTGGCCTCGCCCTCAGCCAGGCTTCGGGAGGCGTCAATGGCCTTTTTGCTGATGAGTTCGCCCGCCGTGCCGTTGCCCGCCGCCTGGGCCTTGGCCGCAACCTCCCGCTTCTCCTGAAACCAGCGGATCATGGTCTCGGTCACCTTCTCCCTCTGCTGCAGCCAGTCTTGTTCATCGTGGCGGTAGTTGCGCTCAATGGCGAGGATCCTGTCCGTCTTTGCGTCGCACTCGGTGATGACCTGGGCCAGCTCCTTGTCGAGCTGGCTCAGCTCCAGCGCCAGCCTCTCGCGGAGCTTGCTGAGCTGGTTGCGCCTCCCGTCCAGTGTGCCCAGCTCGACCTTGGCCTCTGTCAGGGTCAGCTGGAACTTTCTCTCATTGTCGGAATGTTGGGCTTCCTGCTTGGCGTTGAAGTCTCTCCAAAACTTGCCCTCGGCCTCATCCCAGACGAACTTGTGTTCATGGAGAGGGAGATCCTGCCATGTGGCGGCCTCTTCCATACTCTCTTCCTTTTTTTTCTTATTCCCTTTTTTTTTATTCTTTTTTTGTCGCTGTATTTCCTTCTTTAATGAGTATTGTTGTCCAAGTGATTGTTTCGAATGAGTTGTGTGAGAGCACTGTAGTGAGTAAGTGCAAGCCCAAATTGTGTGATGCTACAACACAAAAAGAGCAAATCAAAAATCAATCTGTTTTCCTTGTTTGTCTGTTATAGATATCCGGTTTTTGTCGTCTTAGTCCCCCAATGATATACGCGAGACTCAACCATAGTCCCCGGATAGCGGTATAGTAGTTGCCAGAGTCGTTCCTCTTTTCTCTTGTGGTCCCTTCAAGATGTTTCAGACCGTTTCATCAGTGAAGATGGTTTTATAGAAGTGACATCGATGGTTGCAGTTCAATTGCCGGTAACCGAAGATAATAGTGATGAGCAGCCAAAGCAGAAGAGGATGCTATTAACCTGTGGTGGTATGGTTAGATTGAGCTTGTATAGGTAGTTGGCCTGGCTGAAATGGACAAATAAGTGAGAATCAATTTCCAGGAGTTACGGCCGATCCCACGGTTAGTCGCCAAGATAGAAGGATAGAAGGGTAGAAGGACAAGAGTAGCTGGAACAAGAAGCAGATGGTAGCGTCTATATGAATCTCAATAGGGACGAGCCAGTAAAGCCCAGGGTTCTCCATACTTGTGGAGAGACACAGTCAGAAGCCGACGTGATATTTACACACCCAGGCACTAGGCAAAAGCGAGATGGTGCTAAGACTAGAATTTGTCTGCGAAGCGGACAAGGAACGGACAGGGAATAATACGCCGGCTGCCTGGCTGCGGCTGCTGCGGTACCTACTTGTGTTGCTGCGTCCAGTCCATATAGAGCACCGACGAGAAAGACAAAAGGTTGGCAGGATTGTCGAAACCATGTCAGGCAGGGTCGTTGCCGTCTTTTTGTGTTCTTTTGCGTATTCCATCGCCGGGGCATGTGTAAAGGTTGAAGGATCAAGAACAAAAACGGGAAAGAAATAGCGAGCGAATCCTAGGCGGCTCTGCTTCTTTGCTCGACAATAGCAGCCGCATCCAGAAGAGATCCCCCATGGCAAATTGACAAGAAGAGCAACGGGTGTTGACTAACCTGGTTGAGAAGAGGTTTCGATCCGGATTACGCTGGTATTACTGATCACAGCTGAGTGTTTGCAACTCTGACCGGTGAATAAAGGACTCCGCAGGACATATGGCGCAGGAAAGGCCAGACCCCACAGTGGGAAAAGGCCGTCTAAGAGGAAGTTGCAGTATATATCGTCCGGTCTTTCAATGTCTATCCGCAGCCTATTCTATATCCCTGATGAGTGGTCGATCGGAGAGACAGAATACGTAAGCGTCATATTGAACCTATCTAGGGGGGATGGGCCCGAGAAAGAAAGTCCCGGGCCAGCGTCGTTTGAGGCTGCAAGGGGAACTTTCAGGCGAACTAGAGAAGAGAAGAAAAGAAAAACATCTAATATAAAATAAAGAATAATTTGAGGGCAGGGGAGGGTGTGTAGCAGGATGGAAACATCAGATAAGAAGATGTGCTTTTGGGGGAGGGGTGAGATTCGGGGGGGGCAGGGGGGGAGGGGGGCGTGAGATATATTGGAGGAGGAAGAGAGCAAAAACGAAGAAGGAAAATGCGAAGGAAGAGGAAGATGAGAAGTGGAAAAATTGGAGAATTAACGTGATTGGACGAATTGGAGGATGGAGATGAAGAATGAAGAAGAGAAGAAAAAGGTGAGAAGAAAAGGTGAGGGAGAGAAATAGAGAAGAGGGAGCAGCAAACGAGGAACGAGACACGCAAGACGAGGCGTGTACAAAGGGCCAGCCAACGCGATAGGAGGGCAAACAAGTAGCACTTGGGTACCTCTGGTCTGTCGAGTCTAGGGAAGCCTATTATTAGACGGCGCTGCGCACGACATTACGGAGTGGTTAGCTAATCTGGTGATTATTGATCTGGCGTTATTTTAACACTATTCGGAAAGAGACCTAATCTATCTAGTCTCAACTATACTCTCGCGTAAGAATGAGAATGAATCAATCAATCAATCAATGGCAAAAGGCAAAGTCCGATTGCAGCCAACAGCTTACTTACAGTTGCAGTCAAAAGCACTCACGCCATCATCACATGCGGCACAAAAAAAGACATGACATGACATGCCAGGAACCTGCTCCTCTGCCACCATTGCCTGCATCTGGTATATGCCACTTTACCGATCCGGCCACGCTGCTAGGGCTCCCGAAAATTGACCAAAGGGGTAAATGCCCATCCCTCAGTCCGGGCCTTGGTAGGTAGCGACGCGATAGCCTGGCGGACCGTGCTTTTTTCGCTCTTCGTAAAGCCAGTAGCGCCGCCATAGTCTATATTGCTTGATTGCATTGTTTACTCTTCCATACTGTACAGTAGCAATCAGCCAGGAGGCGTCAAGGCGTTAAAGGCGTTGGGGAGCATGAGGTCCGTCCTGCTTCCGAATCCGGCAATGCTTGTCCCCCGGATTGATTGCATTCTGATAGCATAGCGAAGAAAGAGAGTCAGGACGCAAGCGCCCGTACGTCATCTCTTATACCAGCATCGATACCCAACACAACAAAACAAAGACAGCCAACGGAGAAGTCAAAATGTTTGTTTGCATTTTACTTCACGTCTGGTGAAAAGTAAAATACGCGGCCATAGTTGCCAACGCCATCGTTTCGTCCCTGTTTTCAGCTCCTTTTCCCGCTTGCAAGCTGGACACTTTTTTTTTTTTCTTCTTCCTTAGCTCCTCCGCTAAAACCCAGAGTTTAGCACTAAAAAGGCCAGCCAGCTAGACCGCAAAAAAAACATTATAGCAAAATAGGAACTATATTGACAATAGCACTTTCCCGCGTTGGGGAGCCGGAATTACGGACTTTATCGAATCATCCATTGGACAGTGGTCAAACGGGCAAGTAAATGCGAGTTGCAATGATTCCAACTTTGGGGCGTTTTCTCCATGTTTCTGTTTCTTTACCCCGGCTTTGTGTGTTTCGGTGGCGCCCTTGTGGGCTAGGCCGATAGACTCAACCGACATGTGGCTGCAGTCTTTGTATCAACGGCAGTTCGTCAATGAACGACTGACAGGGCATAAGCCAAACTTGGCAAAGCTGTGAAAATACCTTGGTGCAAGTGCCGGACAGATCTTGAATTGCTTGTTCACAGCTATCTTAGCATTGTTTGATGATCATCAAGTGCTTAGAACCGTGTAATGCCGGCGGATACTGTGATGATCTTGCCTCGATCGATCCCCCACGCTGAGGCATACGAAGTTTCAACAGGCAAAAAGTAGTCTACTTCCTTGCTTTGCTCTAGTCCGAAACACTTTGTGCATCTCCGAAATACTGCGGGCATCATCCGAGCCAGACTGCGAGCCTATCTTTTGCCTTGTCCTCGTTTCTGCCCAATCGGGGATATGCTGGCTGCCTAGGAGTGTAGTACCCTATCAGCCCTCGGATAGCCCGACTATATAGTACCTGTGTAGAGTAACACGTGTAACGATTCAAGCAAAGCTCACTTCATTGCTTTACGGGCAAAACTCAAGCGGGTGATTCCAAATCTCAGCCATTGTTGCTGTCTAACTAACATCGCCTTACCGAGTCATTCACTCAGACTCCATTTTCCAATCAAGGAAATTAAGAGCGAGACAGAGAAAGCGAGAGAGAGAGAGAAATACTATTTTGCTCCATTTTTTCTCTCTTCGTTTCACTCTCTTCTTTTCGGCTTCTTCCTTGCATCCCCCAATCCTTCGCGTGCTCTTGGCTCTTCTGGCTTGTATGTATCCGTCCGGCTATCCGCTATCCGCCTCTCACTCCACCAGAAAAAAAGGGACACGCTCTCTTCTGTCTCCAAGACTATCCGATCAGTCAACAACTAGCGTTATTACGGGTTACGCAACATGCAGCACCATCAAACGTGCGCGGTGTTGCTCCTCCGCGTGGGAAACCGGCTATCGGATCAACTTACACTTCTCCTACACACACACTCGGCATACACAAAAGAATCAAGTAGCCTATCAATTTCCCACGCAATCCAGAAATGCGGACCGCTAGTGCGGCTGTCCGTGTTACAAAAGAATGCCCACCAGCATATATTTCGTATAGCCCGTTTAAAACAAGCGGATCCTTCGCCTCATCCATCGCATCCTATCCGCAGTGTACATCCCGGCAACTTGGAAAAGTCCAGAAAAGCATCGCGTTGTCTTTCCTTCTCACCCCTTGATTTATGGCATGACATTTGCCATGAAAGTTTAGCATGGGTGCAGCCGATCCAAGCAAAATCCTTCGAAGCCAAAAGACGACGAGCAGGAACAAATAACCGGGGCGCAGCTTGCACTATCACGCATATTCCTGTCGTAACTCCATCCCACTTCCCTCAAGTCCTGGATGTGCGGCGGCAGTTCTAATTTGGCCGCTTCTGTGTCTTTTTTCCAATGTAGGTGTGGCGATCATTCGCCAGAAACGTCTCATCCAATGAAAACCTGCAAAACAGGGCTCCGTATTCTGCATCGTTCTGTAACATGGCCGAGCTTGTGATATCAACCCGAGATCTAGAACTTGACTCCAAAAGCTTGTTTTTACTTGACGGTTTTGTTTTATGCCCAATGTCACTGTCTTCATCTTTACAGGTTATCGTGGTTTGTAGTGTCTGCACGTCTGCACCGTGACTCAGAGACCCGCAGCTCATCATCTCTGGTTGGCCAGAATATACGACTGCCCAGACCCCGGCTGCTTTTTAGCATTCTTCTTGTTCGCTCTTGTTTTGCCATCTTTCTTATTCGGCAGCTTTTTTCCTCTTTCAGCCAACGGCTATCGCCCCGTTCGTTCGTTGGCTGAGCTGGGCTAAGCTGGGCTGGGCTGGGCTCCCCTAAACATGAAGTCGACTTACTATCCGATGGATCGCGCGGGTCCTGCGGATTTGAGCGGGTCACGGCCGGCCTTCTTACGTTGGGTTGCCGTGCTGCATCATCTT